TTTCAAGCAAAAGTAATAATTAATGTTGTTTTAGGACACTTTTCTCACACATTTCTTTCGCTCATTCTGAAAGAGAGATAAACGCACACAACACACAAAAAGGTGTTAAATAAAAGGAGGGGATGTCTTATTATTTCAAGAGCTTCGGGGGGAGTGGGATCAAAATAACGATTTTTTTTGTCCCATCCCTTCTAATGGCACACGTCATAAAGTGCATGACACCACCGCAAATCTCAACCTCCACCCATCAAAGTCAAAATGGAGTCAAGAAAGTTCTTCCACACACAAACGCACACACCAAAAACCTTTCTAAAAACTTGTAACCCAGAGCTCCCCAACAGATTTCTTTGCAACTGGGGATTAGTTGATTGGTCATCCTGCACACATGGGGATCAAGGGCACCACTTGATTCAAGGGTTAAAGTGCACCAGGCACATCCAACGGCGGTCAGGATCAGAGCTCTTTGGCGTCTACGTTCGTTTTCAATAGTATTCTGGGGCTACTATAAGTGTTGACTTTAAAAAATCAGTTGCATACCCTGGCGCCCCCGTGACCTGATGCACTCATATGAGCACTATGGCGCCTACATTCGTTTTAAAGATCGCCTCTCACAAGGGGTCAGGTGTATGCAATTACTTGATTCAACTCTCAAACTGAGCCAGGCGCGTCCGCCGGCGGTTGGAGAAACCAGGAGTTCCCCGTGAGCACTGTAGCACCTACATTTGTTTGAAAGAGTGCCATACACAATAGATACTTTGGGCTGCTACAATCAAATGCTTGTGCCCGGCGGTCGAGTGACCGAGAGCGTCCCGTGCTCCCCAGTGAGCACTATGATGCCAACATATTAAAGAGCACCCTACAATAGGAATACAGTGTTAAGTAAACACGTTGGTCCTATACATCACCAGACAGATGAGATACATCGTGTTAAAGTGGGCCGATAAGATCCGGTTTATAATCTTACCTAAAACTATAAGGGGGATAAACTATGTTAGATCGATTTTGCCTAAAATATTAACTAAGCTGTTTCTCTTGACAAGTAGAATAACAAAATCATTAATCTCGTATAAACTGTTGACGTGATAGTGTTGCCGATAGCACAGCCAATTACTATTTTATACTGAAAATTATAGCCAAGCCGGGTCAATATTAGATTAACTGAATAATTCTCAGTACAATTTACAATGTTTTTATAATAATATAAAATGACAGTCACAATTTGTTTATAGGCCTACCATGTTTCATAACATTATTTGTAGTTGCAAAAAAATTGAACTCAACACCATGTAAATTCTGTGTTAAATATTCATTCATTTCAATTTTTTAATAATGAGTAATATTAACTAAATGGCCTCATAAATATATTTTTAAAAAAAAGAAATGATTATATTATTAACATTACATTTCAGTTAGGCCCTATTTGCCCGTGAAGAAAAATATGTAAATTAATATATCTGTGTAAAACTGTGAAAAATAATTGAAAAGTAGTCTAATTTTGGTTCAAAATAAAAATCAGATTTTTAATAGATGCAGCAAACTGTAGCAACACAAAAAGTTTTTTTTAAATGTTTTTAATCATATGCTAATTAAAATGTCTTTTGTAACTTAATAAAAGAGGTATGAATAAATTATCAACTAGGCCTGTAGGTGAATATAGGCTCTTTCATGAGACAGAAAATAAAAGTTGTATTATCAATATTTCAGACTAATACAGACTTTGATATTAACAAACTCAATATAGGGCTATGAGGCAAACACATTGACTATAACATTCAATATTCGAACGTTTTTTAATCATGTGCTGACTTATATGTCATTTGTAACTTTAAATAAAAGATATGAATAAATTATCAAGTTGGCCTATGTACGTGATTATAGGCGCATGAGACAGAAAATAACAGCTGCATTATAAATATTTCAGACTACTACAGACAGTGACACTTAATATGGGCCTATGAGGTAAACACATTGATTTTAACACTCTCAATATTTGAAACAGTTAGACATTCATTTAGTGATATTTATCATATCTGCAACTCAAATTTAGCTAACCACAAAAAGGCACAACTTATCATCATATAGTAGCTTAAAATGCTTCACCTCATTGTTCATCTGTTTTATAATACTTCTAAAACGTACCAAAGATTTGAATGGCATTTTTTTTCTGACATCAACAAAAACATCATTTCAAAATGATGTATTTTATTGACATCAAAATAGCACTGAAAAATCAAGATTTACACCAACAAAACCAACAGCATCAACAAACCATCACTGAAATTATTAAGCAAAAAACCTGAGACAATACTCTAACAATTTTAAATGCAAGGTACATTATATAAATTAAAAGATAGTAGGAGCATTATGACGCCATATACATACTGGTAAAATTTAAACAAATATAGTATATAATATTCCAAAAGATATTAGAAAAATAAATCATACAATTTGTATATGACAGAATTAAACAAAAACACAGTACAATATTCATCAGACCAATCACTTTGATTAACAGTTTGCATTGTAAATATTTATTCTAAAGAACAAAATAAAAACAAATAGTAAACACAAGTTAAATAGTTTTATGAATAAATGAAATCTATAAAATATAAAACAGTTTGGCAAGTGTCATGTTGTGCATTCAATAATGAGATGAAGAGAGTTGAAGAGAGTTTTTGGTATGATCAAGTAAGTCATGTGATAACTTTTATGTATTAACAAAAAAGATGTCATTTGTTAGTTTTTTTTTTGGTATTTTCAAAAATGTCATGGGATAGGTTTTTAATATTATCAAACAAAGATATTCTGTGATATTTTTGGTATTACCAAACAAAGATGTTATATGATAATTTTTGGTATTATCAAACAAACATGACGTTAATAAACAAAAATCAAAAACAAATATTGCACTGTGAAGGATTTGGTCAAGTTCAACCAAAAGCTTAAGTGCAGTTAATGGAAGACAATCACTCATCACAATGATGAAACAAGTGACGAAAAATTTAAACAGTCACTCATCACAATAATGAAACAAATGATGTAAAATTTAAACAGTCACTTATTACCATATTGCAACAAGTGATGTAAAATTTGAACAGTCACTCATCACAATATTGCAACAAGTGATGTAAAATTTAAACAGTCACTTATCACAATAGTGCAACAAGTGATGTAAAATTTAAACATTCACTCATCAAAATAATGAAACAAGTGATGTAAAATTTAAACAGTCACTTATCACAATATTGCAACAAGTGATGTAAAATTTAAACAGTCACTTATCACAATAGTGCAACAAGTGATGTAAAATTTAAACATTCACTCATCAAAATAATGAAACAAGTGATGTAAAATTTAAACAGTCACTCATCAAAATAATGAAACAAGTGATGTAAAATTTAAACAGTCTCTCATCAAAATAATGAAACAAGTGATGCAAAATTTTAAACAGTCACTTATCACAATATTGCAACAAGTGATGTAAAATTTGAACAGTCACTCATCAAAACAATGAAACAAGTGATTTAAAATTTAAACAGTCACTCATCAAAATAATGAAACAAGTGACGTAAAGTTTTAACAGTTACTGATGTTATTTATCCAAAGTAATTGTAAATTTATATAAATCTAGCATGTATATAATTAAAACATAAATAACTTTAATTTTATAACAAGTGTATACACTGAATCAAAAGATTAAATCTGTGAAAGATTTTAAAGTGTCTGTTAAACACCATAATTAAATCATTAAATGTATTCAAATATTGTCATAATTTATCACAGTTTGCTTTTTTTCATTAGAAATAAGTTATTATAAAAAATATAATATAAAAAATATTACTTTGAGCTTTTATGCTGAGACAGACCATAGACATAATAAATAAAATAATAATTGATCTGTAATCAAGAAGAGCAGCTTTTCTGGTAATAGAAATCATCCAATTATAAAAATATTTTGTGCATTGAATCAGAATGACTTAGTGCTACATTGGTTGATTCAACATAATGGTCTTCAGCTTAATTTGCTGGTACAAAAATAACAGGTCAACATGTAAGAAGATTAATGCTTTGAAAATAGAAGAATATCAACAGTAATTTTTTTTAGACAATGTTTAAGCATTGATTTTTATAAAATATGTTACAAATCTATAAATATTATAATTAGCCATCATTTTAATTAATCAATTAATAATTCAATTGTTTTGTACATCTCATTGGTTTTATCAAAATCAGAACTCATCATATAACAATTTCCACTTCTTTCTATTTGGAATAGTTTGGCTTTTAAAATTTTTTATGGTAGTAAATAATTATGGATTTATTACTAGTATGTGGTAATAAATAGCTAAGAATATATTCCTAGTTTATATGGTAGTTAAGAACTAGGGATATATTACTAGTACATAATGTAGTAAATAGCTAGAAATATTCCTTTGGCAAATGTGTGAGTAAATAGTAATGCAAATAAATTTAGAGCACTAGCATTTGGGTTAACAGAAATCTTTTAAAACAGTCTACATAACATGATGATATCTGGTAAAATAGAATTCATTTTCCTTATTTCTTAGGGGCTTATGAAAAAAGTAAGCCACATCAGACACTATATTTAGTTTTATATCTTGCTTTTTAAGTCAGAAAACAAAAATTCCAAAACAAAAATAAGAAGTAAAAGAGAGAGAAAAAAACAAGAATAAAGATTACTAAAGAGAAGGAATACACATAATGTTAAAAGCTATTAACAATGGAATCAAAAGGGTTAGTTCAAGATGTGTTAGTTTACATTTTTAAGTAAAAGAAATGTCATAATGTAAATGTTCATATAATAAGGTATTTTAAAAACATTAAATAATTAAATGTGTATTCAAAACGCTGGAGACCATGTAACAAAATTGTAATATTCTATTATTTATATTTTTATAACCAGCATATTTTCTGCTAAACTCTATCTCTCAAATCAATTTTTAAAATCTTGAATTGAACAAGGAATGAAAATTAAATTTTTTTAAAATTCCGAGTACATTTTTATGCCCAAAGTGGCTTAAGTTTATTTTTAAAATATGTAAAATTGTAAACACGTTTTAGATAGAAAAAACTGACAATCAATTATTAACGAAAAACCGTAAAAAAATACAAAAATGGGGAAAAAGTTTAATTTTTAACACAAACATGAGACATTGGTAATTTTGAGATATGCTTTTTAATCAATGTATCCTAGTTGTATAGGTAAAAAAACATCACAAATTCGTGATTTTTATGTTTTATAATGTTTTTGAGATTGAAGTTTGAATAAAGTTTATCTGTCAATCTGTCGTTGATGTTATATGATGAAGTCTTTAGTTTGAAATTCATCTAGAATATGTCCTGATGTTGAGAATATACAGGTGGGAGTCTGTCCATTAGTCACCTGAGATGTTAAAACAAAAGTTTTGTTAGAAACTTAAAAAAAAATATCTTCAAGTTGTGGGTAAGAACTTTCACAGTAGTATGTAGTATGAAGTAATCTGGTTTAGTACAATAAATTATTCACAGTACACACAATATAACAAAGGGGGCAACACAACAGAGTGGACAACACAACACAGTAGGCAACACAACAGAGTGGACAACACAACAGAGTGGACAACAAAACAGAGTGGACAACACAACAGAGTGAACAACACAACAGAGTGGACAACACAACAGAGTGGACAACACAACAGAGTGGACAACACAACAGAGTGGACAACACAACACAGTAGGCAACACAACAGAGTGGACAACACAACAGAGTGGACAACAAAACAGAGTGGACAACACAACACAGTGGGCAACACAACAGAGTGGACAACACAACAGAGTGGACAACACAACAGAGTGGACAACACAACAGAGTGGACAACACAACAGAGTGGACAACACAACAGAGTGGACAACACAACAGAGTGGACAACACAAAAGAGTGGACAACACAACACAGTACACAACACATGTGACAGTGCTGAACACTTTTTAAAACAACACATTGTGGAAAGCACATCAGGCAGTGTTGAGGACAACAAACACCACTTAAGTTAACGCTGGACATTTTGGACACTTTAAATACCATGTGCTAATAACAAGCTCTCTTATCATTCACTTGTCACTCAGTAAAAATAAAATTTGGATGCCATGGTGGAGTGTACAACTTCTAAGCAGAAAGTCTCTAGTTTAAATCTTAGGCTTGAATTTTATCATGTTCCTAAGTCCACCCAGCTCAAGGGGGTACCTAACTCACATCACAGGAACTAAAGGCTGCTGTCCTGAGTCCACCCAGCTCAAGGAAGTACCTGACACATCACAGGAACTAAAGGCTGCTGGCCAAAGAGATGACCAAAATTTTTCCCTTCATTTACCCAGTTCAATAAGGCAGGTGAACTCTACTGTATCTGCTCATAAACTTCTAGTATAATGTAAGAACATATAACATTTAAAAAAGCTTTTAAAAATGTGTATATTTTATGAAAAGAATTAAGTTATAAAATGTGACCTGCTAGGTGTGGATATTTGGCCATCAGATGAGGAAGTGACAGGCAGGCTGGAGGTTGAGCTAGTTCTACTACATGTCTCTTGAACTGCTCTAGCAGGTTTTTTGTGTACCCGCGGCAAGGGAACAACACTGGTTTCAGAAACAAAAGTTGAATTAAGAACATGTTACCAAGAAGTGGACACTGATCACCTGTCTAAGATTTTTAGGTACAGCTGTGAAATCAAATGTATTTGTTAACAAAAGTAAATTATACTTTGTTTTATTCTATACAAATTTAAAAATTTGACAGAATATTTTAATTCTATGTCATAACCTGAAATGGTATTAGTTTATACAGTGCAAGAATTAAAATAAATTATTTATTTATTGGAAGTTTGTAAATATATATGAAATTTTTTTTGTTTAATAATTTAAATATCATGTCAAGCTTGCAGTTTCTTAAAAATTTGCATTAGCAATGCTCTATGTTTTGAAAAAAAAACTAAGTTAAACTGTTAGCATCGTTAGATATCAAGAAGCCTAAAAATATTATTAGGTTGAATAATTTTCTCGTTGATGCTAAATTTCCAAATAGAACATGCACATTCCTTAACACATCAATACAACTGAGTTTAAAACAAAAGTAAATTATTGTTAATGAAAATTATAAACTAAACAACAGGAGATGATAAACTTGTGATAACATACAATTTAAATTTTTAAATAACCCATGTTTCAACACAAAAAAAAGCACAATTAAAAAAAAATAATTTTTTTCTAGAGTTATGGAACAGTGGCTTGCCTTTTTCAAATGGGTTTTGATATCTAGAGTCATGCACAAGGGAAAATAAAAATTACAATTATCCCTTTGTTTTGATACAGATACAGGGTGAAACAGTGAGGAGTCTAAAATCTAAGGACACAAGCTAGCTTTCAATGCTTACTGATAGGTCAAAATATAAGTATGGAGAATTTATTCTTGACATGCTGGACAAGCTGCTGCATACAAGAAATGTTAGGTCAAACTCAACAGGGTTCAAAGGTTGAACAATAAATAGGAACAAAATCAATTTAACAAAAGAGTATCTCTTTTCTGTATATATGTACATATAGTTTAATTTTTATAAAGTTTATAAAAAAAACACACTTGGTAAAAATAATAAAAATTTAATAAACAATCACTTCTGAAGCATTTTTTGCTTCACTTAGTTTGTCTTCATTGCTGAAATCAAAGACAAGGGTACTTTAAGTTATTATATTGAATACTCAGTATTATTATGGCTAAATTATTTTTTAAATAGTTTCATTCTTCCTATTCCTTTTTAACTTTTGTAAAGAAAAACATGATGAACATAAAAAACTGCTCATGCAAATAATTGATAAATCTCTCAAGGTAAAACTTCTAATATAATTTTGTGTGTGCTGAATTTGATCATTATTCAAATGTTCAGATGTTAAAAACTTCTGTCTTGCATGAGCTAAAATGTGTTGATCATACACAAAACAAAAAATGAAGACAAAAAAAGAAAAACAATGTTAGCTTTTTCGTAGTTAACATCGATATCATATATAATTAAAAAGCTCAATTGAATAGAATAGAACTTGTAATTAGTGTAAAATGTTTCAATTGGGATGAAATCAATAAAGCTATAAAATTAAATCATTTCACTCCTTACACCTATATAGGGGCTCTTTTGTGATATTTTTTTTCTGTGCTGTGAAGAGAGATGTATGTAAAAATCTAGATTTGAAAATTACCTTGTCTTAATGTTCTGTGATTTGGTGTCCGCTGATTTGACATGGTTAGCTACAAATGAATGAGGGGGGGTCCACTGTGGATAAAAAAAAGGCTTTTAGAATACCCTCTTAGATGGTTTTTTTTTGTCAAATTTTAATTCATTAGCTGGATACATTTTTTAATTCTTTTAGATAATTTGATTTTAGCTTGGTATCTGATATTACTATTTTATCTTAGATGGTATTAACATGTGTTCACAGAAGAAGTGGGAGAGGACACATAAAATACCCACTCATAATATCTTCTGCATTATTATTTATTGAACTTGATGAAAGAAGTTCTATAATTTTAACATTCTAAATGTCACCTGATGTCTGGGGTTTGTCGTTGGATTATGTAGATGAATGCTTTCATCACATAGTGACTGTAGTAACAAAATTCCTGGAACAAATAGGGATATAACACATAAATAGTCCATTAACAAATAGTTGGAGAACAAATCTTTTTTTCATTTATAAAACATCATCAAGGTTTTTAGTTGATATACACAGTAACTGAAATGTAAAATGTTTAAAATCTCAGACAAAAGCCATACCTCTCTCTTCCATATGATTGTAACGTAAAACCCACTGATCCAGCAACAAATTATAATAGCGTGGCTGGTCAAAGAATCGTAGATAGCGGTGTGTTTGGGGTGTAGGGAATAGTCTTTGGAAATTGCCTTTTCTGCTGTCTTCATCTATACTCTCACACAAAAGTCGTAGGTCATCAGGGGTTATAGTGTCAAGGATAGACTGCATGATTTCCTTGAAATAGGTTCAAAAGTGAAAACAATCATATCATTGCGTGTACACATTTTGCTTTAAAAACTTTGATCAACTTAAGGAATAAAACATATATAAAATTTGTAATAATAACTAATTTAAAAGTGGAATATAAATATGTCTTCTAATATAGAATGTTAAATGAAACTTGTTTTAATCTAAAATATTTTTTCCGAAATAAACAGAAGTAGTAAAAATATATTAATTTAGAAAAAATATAACAATAAACAATACATCTCAATTATATTACTCAAAAAAGAAACACGAACACATCAAAAAACATTTAAAAAATGCAACAAAAAGGAGTTGTAATTTATAAAAACTGCAACAAAATTGGAAATTCAACTCTACACATATACACACTTTATGCTGTTTGAGGACAAAACCTTCTACAATTGTATTCCTTGTCACTGAAAGCAGGTCTAATATATGAAGCTAAAGGCAATGGGAAACAAAGTTCATTCAGTTATTCAGGATTTAATTTTAAGCTATCAACTATTTTTAAAAAAAATGTTCAATTTAGAATTTCAAAATTTGATTAGATTGTGAGTCAAGAAAAGGTAAATTTGCGTAAATTTGGCTAATTCATTAACTCCTAAATTGAAGATTAAGGCTAACGGTGACAGGACAAATGATCTCAGGACAAATGATCTCAGACAAAATATCTCACGGACAAATGATCTCAGGACAAATGATCTCAGGACAAATGATCTCAATGACAAATGATCTCACGGACAAAAGATACCGGGACAAAATATATCAGGACAAAAGATTTCATGGACAAATGATCTCAGACAAAATATCTCAGACAAAATATCTCACAGCAAAATTTTAAAAGTGTATTGGATAATTTTAGTTGATCTGAACATTTTTAATTGACTGTCATATGGTTTTGTTTACTATGTTTAATATTGTTTATAGGCCTATATAATAATTGTAAGAAATGTTTGCCGTATAAATTTGACATATTGTACCAATCATTTAAAATTAAGATTACTAATACAGTATGCGAAGATTAAAGAAACTTTTTCGATAGACACCGTAGGTGGGCTTGACAAACATGAGACAATCCTACCAAGTCAGGTGGACGAATGTAGATCAAAGGGAATAAAATAACAATAAAGACACACCTTGGAATCAAGGTGGCCGCCCGCTTTGATGGCAGAGACCTGCCTTAAGGGAAAGATATCTGCCCTCCATGGACAATACACCTAGCATCCAAAGTCAATTTTTATGCGACGGTTACACCTTAGTGATCAGGTGACAAATGCTTATTAAAACGACAGCGGTCATCGCGGAGCGAAGTTTGTCTTAGCGTACAAAAAAACATAGCAGTATTAGTGGTGATTACTCTGCTAAGGCCTCTTTCGTTACCTCGCAGATAGGGTATAGGGCATTAGTTTCTAATGAATTTCTGTTTATAAAAGCCATAAGTAGAGTAGCAGGCAAAGAGATTTGGAAATGTCAAGTAAGAACATGTAGACTACAGCGAAAGTTCACACAATACATGATCACATAGTATTGGAAATGTGTGATCATAAAGATGTACCTGCCAGCAATGTAACGTAAACTTTATTTTTTTTTTTGTTGATGATGCAGTAAAACAACATTTTAAAGTTACGAACCTGAAGAACCATTCACATTTGTTTGTTAAGTTTAACAAATTCATTTTATAACAATCAATTATTATGAGTAAAAAGAGTAAATAAAACCATATTGACAGTCAATTTAAAAAAAAGTTCAAATCAACTAAAATAATCGTACATACTATTAAAATTTTCCTGTGAGATATTTTGTCTGAGATATTTTGTCTGAGATCATTTGTCCATGATATATTTTGTCCTGGTATCTTTTGTCCGTGAGATCATTTGTCCTTGAGATCATTTGTCCTGAGATCATTTGTCCTGAGATCATTTGTCCGTGAGATATTTTGTCTGAGATATTTTGTCTGAGATCATTTGTCCTGAGATCATTTGTCATGGAACCAGGCTAACATTATTACCAAGCAATGAACATAGCCTTTAATTAAAATGATAAAGAAGGACTAGAGGTGTGTCCTGAGAAAAGCATATTAAACCATTCCACAAACATAGCTTATGACATCCACAATAAAATTGTTGAGTCCACATTCATCCACTTTTATAAAACAACCCCCAACTTCTCCACTCCCCTCCCTATAGCATGCTGTTTGACAACACAGATTTCATGACCTCTATTTCTGATTCCTTCATCACTAACCACAACAGTACTAATTTTATAAATATAGATATTGTGATTTAATTACAGCTACAGTGGGTTTTTAAAACATACACACTCCTGTTTTTTTTAAATAGTTTTTGATATGCATGTTGAATGTTTTCTGAATAGTTTTTGGTATGCATGTTGAATGTTTTCTGAATAGTTTTTTGTATGCATGTTGAATGTTTTCTGTTATGAAACTTTTTGTGCTGTTAAAGTTTTAAATGGCTTACACCCTTATCTAAACACATCAAAGGCCTTATTAATTAATACTGGCTTTGACTCTAACATTACCTACTATTACTACTGCATTAAATTTTTCAAATATATTCCTACATCAGCATCCAATTTTTAATCAGATCTGCTAGCTCTGTCTACGAGCACATACACACAAATTTGCACATTTATGAACAACTTATGTGAATATAAGCAGTATATTAAAAAAAGTCAATAGTATATAGTGTATTAATGCTAAGACAAAAGTAGTCACCTCATCCTGATGCTTCTGACAGAAATAGGCATGCTTGGCCCGCTCATCAGGGGATAGTTGTGTCGTGAAGAGCCGCTTGTCCATACAAAATTTATTTGGAGGGTTGTAGCCACTGGTGTTTCAGAAAGATTATATTTTTCAATTTACTAGTTATTTTTTTATTAATACCTTTAATTTGAAAATATATCATTTGTAAGAAAATGTTTATGTTGTTAGAGAGTCAGATACATTATTTGTGAAAATTCTTTTTTTCATGTCTGTGTAATTTTAAACAAAAACAGCTTAAAGAAACAAAGAATAACCCAGTTCAACAGTCTCTGTTACAAAGTTGGACAACCCTGGTTTAAACCAACGCAAACTTTTATTTTCAGTCATCCCACCTGCTATCTGAAGAAACATTGCCTCTCAAATCTCTTTCATCGGGTAATCTGTAGCCTGCTATGTTCATCAGATCCCGAATCATTCCACTTTTTACTGTGACGTCCAGTGGAGAGTTAGAGTGTAAGCTGGAAAGATATCAAAATAAGTTCAAAATGTTTAGCCGTAAAATGTTGTAACAGTAATCAAAGTGTTTAGAGTTACAGTGTTGTAACAGTAATCAAAGTGTTTAGAGTTGCAGTGTTGTAACAGTAATCAAAGTGTTTAGAGTTACAGTGTTGTAACAGTAATCAAAGTGTTAAGAGTTGCATTGTTGTAATAGTTATCAAAGTGTTTAGAGTTGCATTGTTGTCACAGTAATCAAAGTGTTTAGAGTTACAGTGTTGTAACAGTAATCAAAGTGTTTAGAGTTACAGTGTTGTAACAGTAATCAAAGTGTTTAGAGTTACAGTGTTGTAACAGTAATCAAAGTGTTTAGAGTTGCATTGTTGTAACAGTAATCAAAGTGTTTAGAGTTGCAGTGTTGTCACAGTAATCAAAGTGTTTAGAGTTACAGTGTTGTAACAGTAATCAAAGTGTTTAGAGTTGCAGTGTTGTCACAGTAATCAAAGTGTTAAGAGTTGCATTGTTGTAATAGTAATCAAAGTGTTTAGAGTTACAGTGTTGTAACAGTAATCAAAGTGTTTAGAGTTACAGTGTTGTAACAGTAATCAAAGTGTTTAGAGTTGCAGTGCTTTTACAGTCATTCATGTATTTAGAATTAAAACATAATTGTATTAAAATATTTCTAATTTACAATGATAAAGCAGTAATCAAAGTGTTTAGAATTACAATGGGATAACACTAATTAAAGTATTTAGAATTAAAACATTATAACTGTAATCAAAATATTTAGGATTAAAACATTTTAATGGTAATCAAAGTATTTAGAATTGCAATCATAAGATTGTAATCATTTTGAAAACAAAATTACAATAGCAATACAGCAATTATTGATGGATGCCAATCTTTCCTGAAATGATTTCTTTATTTGTAATTCAATGTTTCTTTTTTTTTATTGTGATGTGTTTAAACTTACTGTGTGCAACATAAGTTCTTCTACACTTGATAAGCTTCTAACAACACATAGTAAGTCTTTACCTTGGTGAGATGTTCACTTCCAGGATCCAAGGTTTGAGATTTTCATCTAACAATATGTCAAAGCCAAACAGCTCATGGCAGCAGTAGCGGTTGTGCGCATTGGCTTTTGTCATGCTGTTGATAGTTGAGTCACCACTGGGAAGATGATGGTGGAGTTTACAACATTAAAATGGTTGAAATTACATTGATACAACATTAAAATGGTTGAAATTGCATTGATACAACATTAAAATGATTGAAATTACATTGATAAAACATTAAAATTGTTGAAATTAAAAGAATATGAATAAAAAACGTTGAAATTACAGGAATGCAAAATTGAAATGGTTGAGATAACTATAAGAAGTTGCTGAAAGAGTGTGACTATAAAAGCTCAAAATGACTACTTCTTAAAAAAACACAATTTCTCACAGTGCATGTCACATTACTTTGTCATAGTTACATAGTATGACAATGTAGTAATAAGTAAAAAAACAAAAAAAAAACCCCACATTTTTGTGTTCATCAAATATTTTGTTCTCATAATGGTTGGTAATCTGTTTATTCCTTTAAGAAAGTGAACACGTGTGAACGTTTACCCACATAAACTCCAGAAAAAAATATACCTTATAATAGTTTTGATAATAAGATCTCGAATGTTGTCCCAGATTATATTTGTGTTGATCCCAAGTTTCTTCATGTATTCCCACAATGACTTTAGACTCCTTGAAAAATAAGTGTGATCAATTTATGCTATATATCATTGCATTTATTATAAATTTGTATTTCAAGCATCTACACAGTATCACTTTGAAGCATAAAAAAATTGTTAAAAATAAAATATTACGGTATTAACTCTTAACTGACGGAACAACAATTCCGAACATTCATTCGACTGGCCTGTGTTTCAGATGCAATGCTCTTAACATTGGATAATTTTCTGTTTGTTTACTTAATTCATTTGCCAAAATTAAGTGATTACTGGTATACAATGATCATTATTTGATTGATTTGTATTTGTAAGAAAAGATTTTTAAAGCTCTTGCAAAATTACATTTTTTAACAGTTCTGAATTCAGCTGGATGCATCTAACAGTTACATTAATGTGTAGAATTGTTGACACAAAAATAAGTATATTATGATCTAATTCAAGATTTTTGTGGAAAAAAGAATGTATTTTTCCATATAAAAAAATAACTTATCAATTTTCCTGATTTGTATTTTTTCACTATGAAAAATTGTTCATAATTTGTTCTCGTCAAAAAATCAAGTGCATTTTCTTTCTTCAATAAATAAATCATTATAAAAATGAATATTCAATTAGCATTCAATTATGATTTTTTTTTTTAAATTTAATTGCATAGGTTTAAAGTTAACAGCCTACTAAAACGAGGGGAAGAAAATAAATCCAGCCAAACTGCACAAACAATTCTGGACTTAAAAAGTTAATACAGAAAACTTTATTTTTTAACAATTCTATTAGTTATTTTTTTTTAAATTACTAAAAATATTTCTACCAGGATATTTTTTTCAATATATATCTTTTACTTTGGGTTGCTTCCCATTTGCCAAAAGCCATTTACTTTCAACCATAAAAAGGAATCCGTGACCAAGTCAGTAAACATCCCAGGGTCCACCCAGCTCTGATGGGTACCTTTCTAACATTAGGGAAAGTAAAGGTGGCTGGGCTAAGTGCTGACCACACCTTCCTTTCATACACCGAGGTCAAAAAACATATGAACTCTACTTCACCAGCCCAATGGATCGCTAGGTCTAAAGAGAGTTTTAACTTTTCTTTTAAAAAAGGAAGAAAAAAGACTATTTAAACCTGTAACTTACCATTTATGGCCTTCACATAGGTTATTGTCTGAATTACTAAGATATTCAACATTTTTCTTGTTCACACTGTAGTTTGTCAAATGCATAAATCTGTTATTCAATGTCTTTGATGATGATGAGTATCTAGTAAAATCAAATACACATGATGAATCTTTGGACAACAACAAAAAACTATGTTAATTTTTTTTTTTACTTTTCAATACCTATCCTATTATAAGTATATAAATTATACATATCACAGTTAATACATTTCTAAAATAATAAGAAACAATTTTTTAATTCTTCTTTCATTAGTGTGAATCATGTCATTTTTATATTTTTATCATATAGGAAAGACTTACTTGCAGGAAGCAAATCGAGCTAAACCATCATCATACACATACAGTCGTAGAGGGTCAAATGAGCTAACATAGACATATATTCTCATGTCAAACTTGCTGTCATTAATGAGGAATGGTCGATGTATGTATCTGAAAACGTAATAGTTAATGATTCTACATCCATTTTTTAAATCAAAAACTGAAATTTTCTTTTATTCTTCAATCAGAAGTTTTACTTTAAACTGCTGTAAAATAGTTTCAACAAGATTGCATTTAAATTTCAAATTATAAGTTACTTTTGAACAATGACTGGTCTCTTTCTTGGGATCTGAGACCACTTGCTTATAACTCTTATGCCAATACCCCTTGCTGAAGCAGGCTGAAAGGAAGAAAAAGATTTTTTATTTACCAAAGTGTATGGTTCTCAAGAGCACATTGTGCTGGAGAATATTTACTATAAATTTGAATCAAGCAATATTGTAATAGATCAAAAGTTTATTTTCATCTCTACCATTCTTCACTTGTATTCAATAATTAAACAGTCTAGCTTAATCACATATTACACATAGAGATTATTAAAGCAGCGTTCAATAACTGTTGATAAATAAAGAGATAAGTTGCCAGATAAGAAAACTCCTGAAGAAGTCAAAGGCTATAAGATAAAGGACACAGTATAAACCTACTGGCTTGATGATCCACTTTTGTTTGCCTGTACTTTCTTCCCAGTGCCGCTTCAGCAACTTCAGGTCCCCAGGCAGCACAAAAGTTTGAGGGAAAAAACTGAACTCCTTTTTACCAAAGTGGGCCTGCATTCTAGAGAGATTTTTCCAGAGTCTGTCTTTACGCCCAATGTTGAATGAGCCAGGAAAATGATTTAGCTAGCAAAAGAAGTATTTACATTTAACTGCATTCGTATTTCACATTTTTAATCTTTTTAAGCTTTTCTAAAACAAATTTTATCAATAAAAGTAAAATAGAGTTTTAGAGCAGTAAGTAACTAATAATACAAGTACTATTTGTTTTATGACAATGGCTTATGAAGCTAATATTTTTATGACCATTGTATTTATATATCCATTAGGACTTAATGAACAGATAACAGAAAAGCAAACTTTAGAATTGAAAGATATAAATCCTGTGTTCCACCTCCTAACCTCAGCATCCTGTTTTAATTTATCTTTTTATTTTTAATTTTACTTTTTGAGAGCAAGGAAAATGACAATCAAAGGTGCAATTATAAAGTCACCAGTTCACTATTTAAGAGTCTTCTTTTGAATGTCTTATATTACAAGAAAAATTTTCTTTAACAGGCTGTATAAGTATAAACTTATTAAAATGGTGTAGGCTATTATCACTGACCTTTTGATAATCTCTGAGCAGTTTAAAACATTGAGACTTCATGTGTTTACCAAAACAGCCCAACCAGTCAGAGTTTTCTAGCAATAAAACATAAAAGCCATAAATATAATTGCAATTCTTTTAAAAATTGGTTTAGATATGACTTTATATTTTTATTTTCAAAATAATAAAACATTAAATGTATACAAGTTATCCTCTCCATTGTACATATGCAACTGCATGACAAATTAATCAACAAGCATCGCACCACCTTTTATGGATATTAGCAGTTTGATCAGGCGATGACCTGATTCTGAGCATTTAGTGGTAGCAAGCAAAAGCTGTTCTCAGCAAATGAATACTGCCTTATGTTGGTAATCAAATACTTCTGATCAATTCATTAAATGTTATGACTATAAAAATAAAAAGTGTTTCTTACTTCTAGATATTTTGAACCCAATCCTGGTGATGGCAGACCTGACAACTATGGGTGTGATAGGACTCATCTTCCACTTCAACAGTTTACGAAGACCATAAGGTAGCTGTTCAGCTAGTTAAAGTGTATACACATTACTAATAGAATTTTACACACATATTTTTTTATCTCTGCTAAAAAAAGTGAATACACATATTTTTATATTTACTTGAATAAGATATCATCGTGTGGATCTACAATCTACACTTTAAGCTTTTTCTAGTGAAATAAATTACTTAAATATCAAATTATGCAGTTGTTTTATTTACATTTTAGCACAAAAAGGAAATGTTTTAAACATGCCTGCTAATGTTTCTTTAAAACTGCTTGCCTATGAGATATTGCTCTATCAAGTTAGGACATTTAAAAATAAAAGTACTGTGATGCAAAAAATGATGAGACAACTACAATAAAATTCTTGAGTTATAAACAGTCTACATACTTTTTTCCCCTTCTGAGACAAAATTTAGAGTTGGTGGTATTTTGTGGAAGAGGCTGTAGTTGAAGGCAGGTTTAATTACAAGTTTGTTGGAGGAAGACAAGGAAATGTTCTCATTCCTCTCATGCTGGGCTTGAGACCTGACAGCCAGAGAGCGCCCTGAGGAACCTGTGCTGATCACTGAGAACACTTCTGATTCAACTGGAATGTAAATGTGACATGATTCATACTAAAAGAATGGGTTGTGTTGGATCATTGTGGATATTGTAGACATGGAAGTTGAAAAATAAAGACTTTGGGATTATATACATAAATATTGGGTTATAAAGCAAAGGAAACAGAATTATGGAAGTTATTTTTTTTTATTTAAGAAAAATAATTTAAAATACCTTCAGAGCTATTATCTTCTAAATTATCTAACTCTTCCTCATCTCCAAGGTCATCACTTGTTTCTCCATCCCCTGGTAATCTCTCGCTGTAAAACATTATTTAAAATGTTAAATAAATGTTACAAAACAAACAAAATATAGGTTTTATTGTTCCTTCAACACACATTTTTTTGTTGTTGTAATTCTCAGTTATAAAACATTAGAGTTGCAACATTGATTTTTTCTCCAAAGTCAAATTAGATAACTTTTCTTTTTGTTTTAAACATTGACATCCGCTTTGGATTGTCAGTAAAGTTTCTTTTTTTAAACTGATGAACAATGTTATATGCTCTTTAGATAATCTACAAAGAAAACAAGAGGTTAAACTATGCCCTCAGGCAACAATAATCTACATTAGAGAAAGCAACAGAAAGCTCATCTGTAAATGATGTCACTCAATGATAGTCAAATGCTCTCCTTAATACCTAACAATGTGTAGATAAATTTCGTCCCACTCTAAAGAATTTGCCAAAGTAAACCTACAATGTTTGCTATGTCACACTTCTTACCCCAACCTTTTTCCCCTCCACACTGACATCATGTATGCCATTAGGGATAAGAGCGTCTATTTCAGTCAATATGTCAGTGAGGTCAGCAATTTTGCTATCATATTTAGCGGACTGCCATTGTGGTGTGTGTACCAGCTGTTATTCATGCAAAAATAAATCAACTATATATTACAGCAAAGTTCAGAAAATCTGTGATGGGCCACATTGCTAACAGTTAAGCCTAACCCTCTAGAGTTGAAATCATGTTAACAGTTAAGCCTAACATTGTTAACAGTTAAGTTTAACCCCCTAGAGTTGAAATCATGAGAATTGAGATGTGTCGGGATAGAATAAGGGATTTGTATTATAAGATTTTAAATTGCCATAGTCGCTACCTTATTTTGGTTAAAATAGGAAACAACACTGCTTTATCTGCGACTAATTACAAGACACTGACATTAACTAAAAGCACTAATTAATTCACCAAAGCAGTGGGCGCATGAGCAATTTAATTAAACAAGATCGTCAATAGTATTTGTGCAGCTAACAAGACTGGATAGGCTCAGGCCATCAATAATTGATAGCCTACATGGTGTGGAGATGGGAGTATTGCGTGCTGCCAGATAAAAAATGCACACAAACTTGCTCTCGCCCTAGGTAGAATGTGAGAGAAGTTTAATTTTTTATTTCTGGAACTAGTCACGCAACAAGTGCCCACATACAGATGGGGTCTTGTGTGCTGACCTAGAGATGTTTACGTCACAGTTGCTCACCTAGACATCATTTTGTGACATAACCATCTCCAAACCATACAACATATGTGTTAATGTATGTTGATATCTGCTGCACTTGTAAATGTTTACAACTGAAACATAGTGAAGCAGGTAGTCGTAGCAAACAAACTGGACACATGTAGTTTTTTTTTGCTAGCACATTAGCTTCATGTTCCAACAGTAGCACATTAGTCTGATGTTCCAACAGTAGCACATTAGTCTGATGTTCCAACAGTAGAACATTAGTCTGATGTTCCAACAGTAGCACATTAGTCTCATGTTCCAACAGTAGCACATGGACACATGTAGTTTTTTTTTGCTAGCACATTAGCTTCATGTTCCAACAGTAGCACATTAGTCTCATGTTCCAACAGTAGCACATTAGTCTCATGTTCCAACAGTAGCACATTAGTCTCATGTTCCAACAGTAGCACATTAGTCTCATGTTCCAACAATAGCACATTAGTCTCATGTTCCAACAGTAGCACATTAGTCTCATGTTCCAACAGTAGCACATTAGTCTCATGTTCCAACAGTAGCACATTAGTCTCATGTTTCAACAGTAGCACATTAGTCTCATGTTCCAACAGTAGCACATTAGTCTCATGTTCCAACAGTAGCACATTAGTCTCATGTTCCAACAGTAGAACATTAGTCTGATGTTCCAACAGTAGCACATTAGTCTCATGTTCCAACAGTAGCACATTATTCTCATGTTCCAACAGTAGCACATTAGTCTCATGTTCCAACAGTAGCACATTATTCTCATGTTCCAACAGTAGCACATTAGTCTCATGTTCCAACAGTAGCACATTAGTCTCATGTTCCAACAGTAGCACATTAGTCTCATGTTCCAACAGTAGCACATTAGTCTCATGTTCCAACAGTAGCACATTAGTCCCATGTTCCAACAGTAGCACTTTAGTCTGATGTTCCAACAGTAGAACATTAGTCTGATGTTCCAACAGTAGCACATTAGTCTCATGTTCCAACAGTAGCACATTATTCTCATGTTCCAACAGTAGCACATTAGTCTCATGTTCCAACAGTAGAACATTAGTCTGATGTTCCAACAGTAGCACATTAGTCTGATGTTCCAACAGTAGAACATTAGTCTGATGTTCCAACAGTAGCACATTAGTCTGATGTTCCAACAGAAGCACATTAGTCTCATGTTTCAACAGTAGCATTTAGCCTCATATTAGATGGTTTAGAATCTAGTTTGTTTGGGGGGGGGGGGGGGGCTATTCTGAATACTGGATTTTTATTTGTATTTTTACTATTATTACTTTATTTGTTACAAAGTGATTGTTAAGGAGATTGATCACTTTAATCGCTAGACCAATCTATTTGTAAACTTCTTAGTAAAGTCCTTTTGTGTTGACTTATTCAATGCATTACATTTAAAACACCACCATCATATGGTGGCTGAAAAGTTGTAAGCCCACCATCACATACTAAGTATGTTTTGAACCCCTTCATCACTTATATTAAACTACTATTACAAAATGACTGGAACATTTTAAACCCCATCATCACTTGGTAGTGGCATCATTTTAAACCACCATTACAAAATAATTGGAAATGTTTTAAGGGCATATGCTCAGGAAAAAAACTTCTTAATTAATAAACCCTTTTTTAAATATATTTGTGTGTATCTAAGTTAGGGTACTTAATGATATGTATATAAGTATGTACGAGATGTAGCAATCAATCTTTAAATCTGTATATAAAATGAAAGACTAACTGAAACCACGTTCATGCTACAGGTAGTATATTCCTCACGCTATGACAGGGCTTTTAATAATGAAAATGAGGATATGGTCTGCTGCCAATGTTCAGGTGAGAGTGAATAGTCTCCCTTGTCAGACCACACTTCAATATAAAAAATTCAAAGGAAAAAAAATTTCAATGCCTATTATGGAGTCCATTCTCTCGCTACATTAATAAAGAACACACTGAATAATTCTATGGTGCATGGCTAAATAACCAAAGATGAAAGCTTTCCAATCTATTCAATAGCAAGAACAGCCCAGAGATTTCAATGCCCTGAACTGTTTTGTACATTTCTCACTATAAAGAAAATCGATTTGGGTTTTTCATTATGTTAACCCTAATAATTTACACACAAAACATCTGTTAACTAAAGTGAAAGACTAATGTTGTATCAGGTTAGGGTAAACCTAAGTATTCTTTCCCATAGAAAAGTATTAGTCTTGCTTAAGAAGGGGAAAAAAGACAACCAAAATATAATTAAAATTTGGAGTGTCTATTTCTTCAAAGAAATACAGTTATGTCTAAAGTATTTGACTGTGATTTGTTATTGAAAAGACTACATAGTAGTGAATTAGGAGTGAATTAAGTACTTCTATGCAATGATATTAATATTTGTAGTTAAGCCTTAAGCCACAATATTATTTTCAATTCAGTAGGAGACGAACTATACAAAAGTATGGTGAAATCATAAACTATACCAACAAGACGTAAAAGCTTAATTTTACAAATAAATAATGAATTGGAAACTTAGCTATATGAAATGTAATGGATATCTATGATTGTGTAGTGATAGTATTTAAGCCATCTATGATTGTAACAGTGGTATTATTTAAGCTTATCTAAGATTTTGGTAGTGATAATATTTAAGCTAACTATGATTGTGGAGAGCATATAGGCCTATACATATGTAAGATTTATACCTATTTTAGCTAGTATTTGCCAGACCCTAACATTAACCTTAATAATAAAGAATAAAAAAAAACCTTGTAAGTATAACTTTAAAAAATTATCAAGATAAGCTTACCCTGACGGCGAGGACTCGCTTCCTTCTTCTGCAGTATCAGATTCATTTTCCATTTCAGATTCTTCATTCACAAGTTTATCTTTTATATTATCTTCATCATCTCCATTTGAAATCTGGTCCCAATTGTAAATCTTTTCTCTTGAGGTTTTAAACTTTTCATACACAAATTTGTTTTCAACTGGGGCACCATCGCCAATAATCCTAGACTCCACCTTGACCTGGGCAGGTTTCACATCACTGACCTGTGCCAGTTTTTCTTGAAGCAAAATATTCTTCAGGTTTTGTTTATCTGTGTGGGGTAGAGTTTTTTTGCTTAGCTTGACTCTAAGAGGCAAGTGTTTTCTGACAACTTTAACGCTTTGAGTAGAGCTTTCTATGACTTTGGATCTAGTCAGTGCAGTCGGTGGCTTATTCTTGTTGGTGAGGTGACTTTCACTTACTTTATTTTTAGTAAAGGCAGGTGAGGGTTTCTCTTTGGCACTTGAACTATACTTTATTTCAAGCTGAAGACTAGCATTGGCTCTCTCAAGTAACGGACGAGGAACACGCAGCACTTTGTCTGAGGCTGGGCGTGAATTTTTGTCAAAAAAAGGTAGACTGGGAGTGTGACCATTAGGGTAATTAAGAGCTGCAGGTTGGTGGTTAGAAATGTTGGAAGAGTTGATATTTCCAGAAACTAATTCATTGGCCTTGGAATGCCGTATATGATCAAAAGCATTTCGAAAGTTAAAAGAACTTGTCATTGCATTTGAAACAGGTACTTTTTTAACATTCTTAAAGAAAGATGTTGCTCTTTGTTCTGTAAGGGATGAAGAAGCATCAATCATTATTTTTTTCTAAGTGAGTATTTAACAATAGCAATCTCAAATTTTAAAATTAAATTTTAAATCTGTAATACTCTCAGCCTAGTTTAAAAAAAAATTAATTAACTAAATTATCTAAAAGGTATGCAACAGGGTGGATTAAAAATCACAAGGAAGATAAATTATACACAAACAGCAGTGAGCAAAATTAAATTACTAGCAAACTACCATAGGCTTGTAGTAAATATCTTTTCAATCAAAACAACAAAACATATCCAAATTTAAATAAAATAACATAACATATTGTGCGTAAGTATTAATTGGTCAGGTGAAAATGGATAAATAAAGTCTCTAAGGATAATTGATCTCGTGGTCTTGAAAAACTCTGAAATGAACATCAAGTTAGCTTACTGATTACCTTCATCAGGCTTTACATTCTGATTCTCTGATGCTGTAAAGGCAGGGCTGTGATTATCTAAGGCTTTTGTATTGGTTCCATTTGGTGGAATTTTACATTCAACTACACTTTCTTCTTTTAGAAGCTCAGCAGGAAGTTCATTGTTTTCATTAATAAGAGCACCATATTGATTGCTGTTGTGTAAGATTTGGGTATCTGTATTTGTCATAGGAATGCTAGACGAAATCGGAATGGCAGTTCGGAGTTCTTTTTGAATAAATAAATTCTTATCAATATTTGTATTACTAGAAACCACAGCAGTAGTGGAAGCAAAATAAAATTTAGCTTGCAAAGCACTTTTTCTAGCATGACGGTTAGATGGACTAGGACTGCCTTGATTTTTCAGAGGATCTGGAATAGAGGAAACTCTTTTTCTCTCTGGATTACTGAGTGTTGACATGCTTTTTGGACGCAGAAAATAATTTCTATGAAAAAGCGGATCTGATAATTCTGTGGCATTAGTATTCTCCTTAGGTTGTTCGTCAGTACAGTCACCATTGATAACTGATCTTACTTCATGTGCAGTCACTGGTCTAGAATATGGATTCAAGGATAGACAAGGCTTTCTTCTTGTCAGGGGCTGCTTATTTTGTTGTGTGGGAATTGGTTTGAGAACACTTGTGTTTTCAGGTTTGTGAGGCTGATGAGAAGGCATTACCTTACCATTAGTATTAAAACTGTTAGGAGGATTAGTACAAACACCCATCACATCTTTTCTGATTAATAAACTGTCACCTTGATCCAGTGGATTCAGGGGTTTTGTCATTGTAGTATCATACTTCAGAGTGGGTTTAATAGTCTGCTGCCGAAGAGGAAGCTGTTTTTTGAGACTGAGCTCTTCCAACCCCACAGACAAGCTTTCACATGGATTTCTGCCATTTTCCATAGCTTCTCTGTGTACATCAGAATAGTACATTGTTTACCTGCAACCAGGTAAATCCTAATGCATCAAATATAAGAGACTTATGATCCAAATGTCAGCCTGGAATCTGCAGAGAAAAAAAAATTCTTAACTGTAATGAACATTTTTACATTCATTGTAGCTTTTAAAAATAAAGACCCTTAACTTTTATTTTAATTTTTATAAGTAAGTACTTCATGTTAATGTTTGGTGAACCTTTTTATCATAAGCTCATTTTCTAAACTATATTGGAGAATTTCTTTTCTAACTTGAACATATGTGAGACTCAATTCTAGCATCTACTCCTTACTGTTATAACAATAATACTATAATTCAATGGAGTGTTGATATAAAGTCAGAAGAATATGTTGTAAGCTTATTAAGTAAAATTAATAATTATTGTAGGACCAAGGCCTAAATGTTTTAATATTACATATTTTATAATTATATAAGCTATAGACTTATATAAGATATATATATATTTTTTTCTAGAACTTAAATAAAAAGCTTAAATACAATTCAGAATACTTAAGATACAATTAGGATTTGAGCAAAGTGAAATCTGTAAGATTAAGTAAATTTAATTAGGCCTTTTAGCATGCTTATCAATATTATTTAATCAGTATTTAATAAAAAAAATATAAAAGTTAAAAGATACAAAAGCACTTCAAATTTTCTCTTCTTGCACTTGTGGACCTAGACTCTAGACATCTAGATTTTCTCTAGATCTAGTTCGTCTTAATTAATATTTCTTTTTATATTAATAAAATTGACTTAAACAATCATCTTTTACTCTAGACTGTAGGCTTACTAACTAGACTCTAACCTCTACACTCCACTAAAGTTAAAGAGTTAAGTTCGGGTTTACAGTATATAGTATATAGTATTATTAGTAACCTGTGCCTGTAGGTATGCTACTCATTACTACTCAACAATTTTGTAGTTACAAAATGTAAAATAAAATGTGTATTATACATTACTTATTACTTATAGTAACTAGTTATTTACTAGCCTACTATAGATCTACTTAGTATTACTTAGATCTAGATCTAGTTAGAATAGTAATAAATAGTTGAACCTACTTTTAGTACTAGCCACTTGCGACTAGGCCTCTAAGACTAAGACGTTTTTTAAGCCATGGCATAGCCTACGGGCTACGGCTTCTTAAATTTTTAAATTAATAAATTAGTTAAAATTTAGATCTAAATTTTAAATTAGGCTTATTCAACTTATTGGCTTATTTTTTAAAAAATCAACAATAAAATTAAAAATGTAGACAACCTAGATTCTAGTCTAGATCAATGTGAATATATTTCATAATATTTGAAGTCTAGATTAATGTTTAAATTTAATATTCTAATAATGATTGTAATTTTTCACGAACCTTCTACATTGCTTAGGCTACAACCACTAAAATTTAATGGCATGACGTACGGTACGTATGTTCCGCCATTGATCAACAATATGTGAGATGCTAAGAAACAGCGACGAGTTTAACAATTCAGCCAATCAAAACCAAGAATAGAAAAAATCGATTGCCACTAAAAATTAGAGACCGGAATAAAGGGAGGCTACTGAGTAAAATATTTGTTCATGTGAGAAAAACATAGTTATTTGGTATTTTCACAGATTTTTTAACAAAATAAATTCATTTTTAAACCAAGAATCGGGTTTATAATTTTTTTGTGTGTTCTCTATACACTTCAGAGATCTGAGGTGGGGGGGGGGGGCGAGTTTTAGAAATTTAGGATGATGTGTAACATTTATTTGTAGCCTATTTTTAATGATAAAAAAGCGTGTAAATTATCATTAGGAAAACGGTTACATAGAAAGAGAAGAAATGTGTACTGTTATTAAGTCATCTGGAGGTTGTTTTTTTTAAATGGCTAGCTCATGAAGCGATTCGAGGGAGGAACATATTGGGCTTCAAAGGCGTAAAATTATATAATTTATGGACCCCGGCATTAATTTAGGCCCTTTAAATGTATAATTTAAAAATTGTAATTAGTTCTAGATCTCTTTAACCCACAAAGAGAGACACAGACAGGTCCTGCTGATCTCATTCTATGCACTATAAATAAAGATGGTAGCTGCAGCAGGGGGGGGGGTGCGGACCGCACCGGGTGACACCATTTAGGGGGTGACACCAAGGCAAAAAATAGCAAAATATATAGAGAAAAATTTGAGGGGGGGGGGTGCAAATCGAAAGTTTGAGGGGGGGGGGGTGCAAATCGAAAGTTTGAGGGGGGGTGCAAATAAAAAATTATGAAAGTTTGTCCCCGGTAAGGTTGCTATGCCTCTGGGGGTGACACCGTTAAGTGGCCGCACCTCGCTACGCCACTGAGCTGCAGTATTATTACTATTCTAAAATTTACTGCGGGGGGCGCGGACACTGGTAAAAGTATATTATTTTCTATTTAAGTTCTATTTCGTTTGTGTGTGTGTGTGGGGGGGGGGGGGTTAGACGTAGGAAGAAACTCTGTTTACAAAAAATAACACTGACATCGACTATGCTGATGTAAATTCCAAGGGCAGTCATAGGCTGACATCACTACGCTTGAATGAAATCAATGTAAAATGTTAATACACCAATACACCAATACTCATACAACGCATATATGTGATTTTTGCATCAAAGTGTGCTGTGCATATCTATTTTTGTTATTTTGCTTTTCGTTATTTTGTAGAATTCTTTAAAAATTAAACTTATAAGAAACAACATCACATGAACTAAACCCCAGATCATTAACATGTCATGTTCTTTTATCCCAAAACTTCAACTTCAAGCTAATATTTTTAAAATTGTTGGTCGATTTCAAAATAAGGTATTTTATTGTAGGCATCGTGGACTTGTGAGATATGCAGAGTAGTCACGATCATTGCTCTTGAAATAACTTTAACGAGTATTATTTGCAATAGCTGTATGATTGTCTGAAACAGTGTCGTCGCTAGGTCGGATGTCACCCGGTGCGGTACCCTCATGGTGTCACCCCCCCCCCCTTTTTATTTTCTCTGTAAATTTTGCAGTTTGTGTCATATTCCTCCCCCCCCCCCCCCCCCCCCCAACATAAATCTTTTAAGTGTTCACATTTAATACTAATGATATTTATCTATAGTCGGTTCTTAATACAACCAGGTGTAGCATTTGTTTTTCTGTATAGTTTGCATGTTTACGTCATGGTGTATCCACCCCCCCCCCCCCCATCATTGTCGCAATCGTCATTATGTACTTAAAATAATTTTTTAGCTTTAATTAACCATTCATTGAACTGGGAAAAAACATTATTTTATATATTTTGCTATTTTTTTTGTCTTGGTGTCACCCCCTTAATGGTGTCACCCGGTGCAGTCTGCAACTCCCGCCCGCGACGCCTCTAGTCTGAAACCATTCATAGATTAAATTAAATGTAAGAGCATGCATTTGGAGATAATTTATAGTTTAAAACTGGAATTTAGCAAAATAATTAGAAAGAAAATGTATTTTTATTTTCTTTGTGCAGGGTGTGACCAAAGTACATCGTACATGTCAGGGGCGTAGCGGGGGGTGCGGATCGCACCGGGTGACACCATTTAGAGGGGTGACACCAAGGCAAAAAATAGCAAAATATATAGAGAAAAACTTGAGGGGGGGGGGGTGCAAATAGAAAGTTTGAAAGTTTGTCCTCGGGAAGGGACGCTACGCCTCTGGTGGGGGTGATACCATTATGATTAAGTGCCGCACCGGGTGACACCCGACCTCGCTACGCCACTGTACATGGTTACTGTGCTGTTTACAGACTTCTTGCTCATGTTCACTGTGTTGTATACAGACTTCTTGCTCATGTTCACTATGTTGTATACAGACTTCTTGCACATGGTCACTGTGTCATACACAGACTTCTTGCTCATGTTCACTGTGTTGTATACAGACTTCTTGCTCATGTTCACTATGTTGTATACATACTTCTTGCTCATGTTCACTATGTTGTATACAGACTTCTTGCACATGGTCACTGTGTCATACACAGACTTCTCTCTCCTGTTCACTGTGTTGTATAGACTTCTTGCACCTGGTCATTGTTGTATACAGACTTCTTGCACCTGGTCATTGTGTTGCATACAGACTTCTTGCACCTGGTCACTGTGTTGTATACAGACTTCTTGCACCTGTTCACTGTGTTGTATACAGACTTCTTGCACCTGGTCACTGTGTTGTATACAGACTTCTTGCACCTGTTCACTGTGTTGTATACAGACTTCTTGCACCTGGTCACTGTGTTGTATACAGACTTCTTGCACCTGGTCACTGTGTTGTATACAGACTTCTTGCACCTGGTCACTGTGTTGTATACAGACTTCTTGCACCTGGTCACTGTGTTGTATACAGACTTCTTGCACCTGGTCACTGTGTTGTATACAGACTTCTTGCACCTGGTCACTGTGTTGTATACAGACTTCTTGCACCTGGTCACTGTGTTGTATACAGACTTCTTGCACCTGGTCACTGTGTTGTATACAGACTTCCTGCATCTTGTCACTGTGTTGTATTGAAACTACACCAGACCACTGTTTATACTGTTGTATGTACACAATATGGTAAATCATAATACCAGCCTAAAAACTGAGTTATATTTTTAGCCCTACAGCTGACTGTAAGCAATAACAGCACAAATAAATGTAGTACTGTAATTTCAAGAAAAAGTTTCAAGTATTAGAAATCAATTATAAACTCATTTGACACTTTCCATTGCTAGCTAATATAATGCTGTAAACTGTAAATATCCAGATTCAGTTCTAGAGTCATCAAAGTGATTAAAAATAAATGAACACAGTGAAAATCAATAAGGTTAACAGTGAAATAATTTGTTTAGTCGCTGTGAACTAATCACACTAACCCAGAGGAAGTCAACAAGCAAAATGTTTAGGGAGCTGAGCTGCCATGAAATTTATAATATATTTTTACCATACAGTAAATTGAATGTTCAGCCACAGTATTAAAGATTTATGGGGCAAAAAACAATTGTATGATACACTGTAAAGATAAAAATTTTGTTATATTTCTTTTTATTAAAGTATTTACAATTATACATAACTCACATTAAATTGTGGCATCTACAAAAAATGCAACCTAATTAGGCTTCAGCTCATGTGCCATTCAAACTAACATACTTGCAATGCATTATATTGCAGAGTTTGCATGTTCAAAAATTATACATAAATGCTGTGTAATAAATCACTGCTATGTATTATGTATATATTTTCATATTTTGAAAATGTATGACCATAATTAGTTTTATCTTCACATAAAGCTGCATAACAGAAAAGTATAAGTGTTATGTAAATTTCATTTCAACTTCTTTAATACTAGTGTAGTGATAGGTAAGCATAAAATATTTACTTTGTAATAAAAATTGTGTTGGGTATAAAGTCATTTAACTGTCGAATGACCTTTGCTGTTATATATCATCCATAAGATTAACAAGTGAAGTCAAAACTATTGAAGCACAGATTGGGAACTTTAAACAGTCTTCCCAAGTTTATCACAATCCTCTCTCAGCTTTTGATTTCAAGTACACTCCGCCCAACAGGGCTAAGATAGCAAAGGCTTGTCCTCCAACACGTAACCTCATCATGAGTTGAGCCTTGCGGTTGTCTCCTGTTTTCAGAGTTGACAGCCCAATGCACAGCACAACACTTGTAAAGATGACTCCTGTAAAATTTAAATAATATTCTTATTATGCAAATGTAAGAAAAGCTAATAATTAGGTAGATTTGTCTTCACATAAAGTAAATTTTATACACAGAGAATATGAATTTCTAAGATCAACCTTAATCCACTTTTGACATTTGTTTTGCACTAATGTCCATTAATGCCATAATTATTAATGCAGATAAGGTAAGCCCTAGCAACCAGAAATAGGCTATCATGTATAAAAATAGGAATTGCAAGCTTAAAAGAGGAACATACTAACAGATGCTACTTTGCTAGCCCAAAAATAAAAAATTAATTAATGTGGATATTCCTTCAGCGAGGGTGTAGGTAGTAGTACGTCCCTGTGTGTATGTGTCGCAATGGTGTGGATATGGATTTTCCTTCAGCGTACCGCAAGGCGGGTGGTGTTAGCACAAAACAAACCCTGTGATTCACTTAATCTGAGTCATAATAATTATGAGGCAATCACAAACCAGATAAAAATTAAGGAAAGTAGGCCAAACCCTTTCATGAATATTTTTTAATGTAACGGTATAAAATAAAAGCAGTGAATTAAAAATAAATGCTAAATGTTTGAAGACATTTTATGAGTCTAACATGACAGCCACACATTGTTCCACTCAACCAAAATGCTTATCGTACATTGCACAGCATTTTTGAAAATTATCAAATTAAAATGTGAAAAAAAAGACAGGTAGGCTGTTTGGTTCACAACTTCCAGGTATGCCTGTTTATATTATCTCACAGCCTAAATGCTAGAAGTAAATTACTAAGATGGCTGTGTGTTTCACTTTCATTTTTACTAATTGGAACTACCAGTTTCAATTTTAGTCTGTCAAAGTTGTTGACCTGTCTCGATCACTTTCTTCAATGAATTGTTCATTCGATCTTGGTCTACTAGAACTAGCATTATCTTTATAACTAAAAATACACATTGCCACTTTCTTTATCATTTATCAATTCACTAGGCATGCTGCCCAGCTTCGCTTAGGCTTTCGAAAACATTGAGAATTTGAATGCTTAATTAATTCGCCCATATAAGGCGCCGGTCAGTCGAGGTCAGTTTTGACCCCCTCATCGTAGACTTTTCGGCCAACCGGCCCCCGTGTTCTGTCGCCCCAAGGCAAGATCCTGTCAAATTTGAAGCGCCGGGAAGTGCCCTATCGGGCACCCGACAACTTAGCTTTATATATTATAGAGATTAGCAAATTGCATAGATAAACAAAGATTTCAATAAAGTAATTAAGGCCTGAAATACTTTAGTATAGGAATGTATTATTTGAATAGATTCTAGATCTAGGTAGGGTCTACATCTCTAGATCTAGAATCCAAATAGATAAAATAATTTTTTAAAGTTTAGGCCGAGAAAATCGTATTGTATACATTTCATAGCGTACATAGCTCTAATTCTAAATCATATTTGAATTAAGTAGTTCATTTTTAAAAATTCTAAGCTCGGAAGATGATGTCATCAGTTTCGTGCTCTTTTTTTAAGTGTAAACAATATGCGACGTCATTGTTATAAATTATAATGTTAATAGTTAATAGCATTCTTGTCCCAAGTTCAAAAACTTTTCCGGTTGCATAAATAATACTGTTTCTCTACATTCGAATACGCCTTTAATTTGTATTTTTCTCCTTAAATAACATTGTGGTTTACATTTAAAACATCTAGCATATTATTTTCAACAAAAGTCCGTATAAAGTTCTTCATATATATATCGCTGCCGTTTCTGACGTGATGTCCGGCGAAAATATTTTGCGGACAGACAGAGAGAGAGAGAGAGAAGAGCGCACATAGCCTTTTATATATTAGGATAATCTACATCAGACTCTTCATTATAATAATAATGATCAATATCATCATCCAAATGAGAGAGCCCAGCACCATGACTTATCAAACTTGTTAGAAATTGAAAGCCATTCTAAAACTACGATATCTCTGGCATGGATCAATATTATTGTTATTAAAATTGCTAGTTATCTCCCCTGGCCTCGTCTAGTCTCGCAGACGTGAGATTTCATTTTTATAGGCTACAGTTCCGTTGCTATTTATCAGTGCCTGAGCATGTATTTTGTGGCCGGATACGGCCGTTATGGGATTGAATGGGTTAATGTTATCTATTTTAAAATTACTAGATCTATTAATTAGATTAGAATAGATTTAATTAGAATGCATAAAGATAACTCATCCGTTCATCTATGACAGACGTAGCAGAAGTGAGCCTAAAAGCTAAACTTAAACCATAATATTTTTTTATGAAAATATAATACAATAAAAAATAGCACTGCTCTCTTAATCTATACTTCACTCCCCAGTCATAATAAATGCTTTTATTATCGAAAGATATTATTCCCAGTCGTATTTAGCATGAAATGACAGACAACTGGAAATAGCTTTATTGGGGCTATTCACAGCTGTCTGGGAATAGCCCAATGCAGCTATTCCCAACTGGCTGGGAATATGGGAATAGCCTTGGCCAATCGACATCTTGCAGCAGGGGGAAGGGGGTAAAAAAAATGTGATTTGATCGTCAATTTCATAAACACCTGAAATCATATTGAAATCAAACTTGGTAATCTATCGTTTTAGGTACGTAAAATCACCCGCGACTAGTTATGTGTAAAACAGGCGAATCCTTAAATTTTAATAATTATTTCACATTTTGAGGAGGATTTATGTTTTGAAATATACAAAAATTTTTCCTTGCTTCATTTATGTACTTGTTTTAAACAATTGAATTAAAACTTTTCAGTAATAAATGAAGACTAGCGATGTTTCCAACAGATGCAACCATGCTCATTTACTATGGCAGTTATCTTGTTTATTTTTTTTTATTGTAAACTTAAAGCGCGAGATTCAAGGGGAAGCCACTCCAACTTACAGATGGCCGCTTTTTATGTAGCAAATCCTGCTCACAAACACTGCTGTTTAAAGTTAATTTCTGGCCTATATTGATATATTTAGCCATTGATTTAGGTTTATTATTCATTTATCTATAATATTTGACACAAATATATCACAATATCGATCTAGTAGGCCTATATACTAGGCGTTTCGTTGCTTAGATGGCTGGATTGACCTCTGACCCTGAAACGTCACGCGTCGTTTTCTGACGGTTTTTACGTTTATTTTAGGTGTCCTATCCACGACAAATGAAAAAACTGTTAATCTCACAAATTCTTATCATTATTTCAACACAAGATGGTAATAAAATGGATAATATGCCTTAGAATGCCAGAAAAAATCGTGAGAATTGTAGTTGTAAATAATGAGAGGATTTCTAGTGGAGCACTCTCCGTATAAACTGAACCGTGGCCAAAAATGACAGTATAACGGGGAAAATGGCCCGTATAACAGTAGATTAATATATAATTGAGATATTTACCATGTATATTTACAGTATTATTCATTCTCTTTTCCTAAAATCCAATTACCCCGTAAGTAACCATGCCACAATTTCTCTCTGCTATTTTTAGTAACGTTGCGTCATTGTTATGCTAGTTGCCAGACAGAAACAACTAGTTTTTTGTTTTTTGCGGAATGAACTGTTAAGTCTAGTATTTTAATTATAATTAAATTGTAGCATTTGCGGAAAAAGTAAAATTATGGACATTATTATTGTATTAGTAATTTTATTAGTATATTGATTTTTTTCTTCTCTGTGGGCCGACAGTAGCTGCATTAAATTTAATTCGTGACCGGTGGTTAACCTCGTCAACGCTGCGTGGCCTATTCGTTTATATAATTAGTGATGCTCGTTCAGTGGCCTTTTTCAGTAGGCCTAATTACGGGCGATTTTTAGACCTAATTGATCGGCCGTTAGCCTTTTTCATTGCTGCGTATTTTAAAAAATGCTCGTTCAGCTGCCTTTTTTTTTGGCGCTGAATAATCTGTTTACGGGCATTTTAAGCATTTATTTATTTATTTTCTTACGCTAGACGTAGATCTAGTTTAAAAAAAAAAATATTTTTTTATACAGCTGGCTGTCTACCATGCCTGATATGGGAACTTTAAAAAAAATGACCAGAAGTAGGGAAATAGGTCTGTTTTTCAATTCGCTTGAAGAAGGGGGGGGGGAAGAGAGAGAGAGAAGTGAAGACACCAACCATCTCGTGTACGCGTGTTCATTCTATGACGTGTACTATAGGCCTGCTGAACTCACGGTGACCCTGGTGGGATTTTTCATCCACAGGATAGTAAACGTAAGCAAGCAATCACGCGAGTGACGATGTTTGGAGATTTTTTTTTTTTTTTAAATTGTATACGTCATGTTTTCAAGATGAAAAAAAAATGTAATGTTAAAAAAAAAAAAAAAGACACTAATACCATGCATGAACCTCAGCTGCCACACTGTTGACTCAATATAATGTGAATTGAGTGTAAAATGTATTTGTATTTATAAACTATCATAACTATTACTATCATATCATTTTAAGCATATTTATTATTTAAAATTCGAATTTGAAATAAAAATATGGACGATATTTCGAGTCGTCCCTTTGAATCCCGGACAGATCGTCCCCCCCGGCGTGGCCTCAGCCAACCGGCGGGCTCGTTGCATTGAGTTAAATATAAACTCAAAACAATAATATAAACAATCTCCTTTTAGGTCGGTCAGGCCACATACCAGGCACGCACAGTGTTGTGTGTCGTGCCTTAACCAAAATAAACTATCTCCCTTCATTATCATTAGATATATTGAATTAGTTAATTAATTAATTAATTTGCTAATTTATAAAATTATGTATGATGCTATAGCAGTAGATAAGTTACGGTAAGTATAATTTTTTAAACTATTTGTACTATTAAAGAAACACCTTCGTTGTTGAATACCACCCCCTCCCCTTCTTGAACTCAAAGTTAAACTTTTAACCCCGTTCGTAGAGACATGCGGTATGTTGTAAGGCGGCGGGTGGGTAGGGTATATACTCATTGAAGAAAAAATCCACCGTGGTGCGTGTTATTGGCCTTGGGCCTTCGGTGACGTTGTTGGCGTTTGCTGTGAGGGGGAGAGGGGTGTGTTATATCCGTTTAAAAAAAATCGCAACATGGTATTGGCCTATGATGACGTCGGCGCAAGCGGGGAGGGGGGGGGGGGGACACTTTTTTTTAAAAAACCAAGAACTAGGCGTTTAAAGGCTGTAATGAAAATCAAGGACTGGTATAGCCATGATGTCGAATTTAACCGTTAAATTCGACATCATGGCTGGGTCTATCATACGATTGCTTGGCGATGGGAATCTTGCCAAGCTCAGTTTATATTTACAGTGAACTATTGGGATGCTGTCATACACAAAGTAACAGCTACCGAATGTAGCACTTAAAACATCGAGTGCATCCCGCTCATTATAAATTTGAAATACAAGTTATGGATTGCCCAAAAACTTGAAGGACTATCAGAATATATGCATTGTATTATAACATTAATCATTACGATATAACTAAAATGTGTATCCAAATATTTTTAGGCTAACAGAATCTGCATTTAAATAAACAAGACCTATTAGGCTACTTTTGCATGGTAGCACAACTACATTTTTAGATTTCATAATGAGTAGCCTAGTCGTGCATTAAAGGGCTGTACTCAATAAAAATGAAAAAAATGAAATGCCGGCTTCAAGCTATGATTTCCCCGTATTCTTCTACTAGAAATATAGCTCCGTTGTTCTAATGACCTCACCCTCCTCCTCTCACCTAGTTCAATTTAAAGTTACACTTTCAACCCCGTTAGGATGCGTGAGCTACTGATGACCTAACTATTGAAAAAAAAAACTATTCTGGCGTTAAATTGCCCTCCCCTACTCGCAGCACTTTGGGGCCATACACATCAGGAAGGTCTAGGTCGGTGTTGTATCTCGTGCAAATTTACTCACAACACGACTACACACTATGGTTGTATCCAGGACTAAAGCTGCGACACTCGCATAGAGTTGGATTTATTCGTTAGATCATTGTGCTTCAAATTCTGTTTCAATATTGGATTAGATGGATATAATGTTGGAATTCAGTTAGTTTGTTATATTATATTTATCTAAATGTCGTGTACCATCAGAAACTAAATTGGTTGACAAGACACATGTGTAGGCTAAAGAATGACCTCTAGATCGAGCCAAAGATGGCTGGTTAAGGTTGACATACTGTGGTTTTCAAATTTCATGGTGATGCTTTTCTAAAGGATTTTATTTTGTGCTTTCTTTGGGATTTCTACACGTAGAAAAAAATGGCCTTTTCGGCCCTTTTTAGCTCCAAAAACGCGTCGCGTGACGTCACCGTGACGTCAGCCGCCAACCAAAACGCGGAGAAAGCGCGCGTTTGATTGGTTGGCGGCTGACACTATGAAATTCTCTAAGGACGATTCGAATGGTATACCAAAAATATTTATTATGGTCATTTGATTTATGCAGGTGTTCATTATTTCATAAAATGGTATGAATAACATGTAGAGTAGAATTTAATAAATAATAAAATAACTAGATCTAGTTTTATTATCAACCAGTTGCTTTTTGTTATTTTCCGGTGAGTAAATAACCTAAGCTGACGCAATTACCATGGTGGGAATGAACAGCTCGTGTACACAAGTCCACGACGTAATGTTATGCCAGTCGAGGCGCAAGAATGCTGTTTCGTCATTCATTTTCCATTCTAAGATAATTTTTAAATTCTCTCTTTTCTCGTCAACCGAGTAAGCTAGATAAGATATTTAAATGTGGTGTCAAATGTTCTCTTTAAACTTTAAGGGGTAAGGAAGTTAATGGTGTATTTAAAATAACAGGATATTTTATTTTTAAAAATCCATAATTCAACCTACTATATACTTCTATTAAAATCTTGACAATGCTGTAACTTTTTCGTACATTACTAGCTGCGGGCGATTTTACTTTCCGTACCGATAAATTAGTAAAATTAAATTTTAAAAAATTAAATTAGGCCTACCGAAGATAGATCTAGAAATCTAATTACCAATTGGAACAAATGGATTCTCTTTCGTTTTAGCAATTAGTTTTTCTTTTAGCCCCTGTTGTACATAAAAAGGCTCTGGTGGAGGCAAGTACTCTAGTCTATCTGCCTTAATAACAGGATCCACAACAAACTCGTCCTTGGAGGCTGCCATCTTTGTTGATGTTTTATATAATACAGATCTAAATTAAGCTAGTTTACTTTTAATGAATTGAGTTTCGAACTTTTTCATTTGTAGTGACTAAACGCTTACATTTAGTCAATGTAAAAATAGAAATAATTATTTTAAAAAGGATATTTTAATACTCTCTTTCTGTGCTGTGTCAATACGAATTAGCATGACGTGTTTTTTTTTTCTTTTTACAAAATCAGAAAATTAGGCTAGAGATAGATAAACAGGAACTCTTTTTGTAAAAAGAATCTTTTTATCCTTTAAACTATTGCTAAGCAACATGTCAACTACAGCCCTACGTCTCACACAGTAGTAAACGGTTGGTTACTTTAAAATAAATCCTTAAAGATCTACTTGTTATTAAAGTTCTTTTTATTGTTATTGATATTTTATAAAAGCAAAGAATGAGCAATAATGAAATGCCGCCCTTACAATAAAATTAATATTAGTGTATCAAGATGCCTAATCATAAAATAATAAAAATAGGCCTAGGCCTATGCCTAATTAATAATAAATTAATTTTTTATATTTAAAAAATAAATATTATTTATTTTTAGTTTTAGCCTTAGGCCTATTTACTATTGAATTTGGTTTATAATATCTAGGCTCTCAAACAGTAGGCCTATTCCCACAAACTTCCCAGTAATTGTGAGTATTATCATAAGCCTACTTCAGTTAATATAAACTGGGAGACTATATTTTGATTATTTCATAGAAATTTATAATATAAAAGGTAAAATGCATCAAATACATTTTACTCTCCAATTCATTTGGGTGTATAAGCATTCTAGGAAATAGTGAATTTCTAGTTTAAGTATAAGTATACTTGAATAAGTCCAAATACAGCTGGAATTTTAAACTATTTCATCGCCTCTTCAAGATTCCAATTCCAACCCATCTTAATGCCATTACAGTACAGACTTAATTCATTTTTAAAGCAGAAAAAAAAAACTTTTAGCAATCCTTCCATCTGTAAAAAAAACATTTTTAATTGACCAATTAGCAACCTTGTAAGCAAACTGTAAGATTCAGTTCATATTTCTTGTGGTCCAGTCATGTTACCTACTAAAGCATGCATGTCTATTCTAGTGTATTATTGTTTTGTTGTCACATGTTTCACCAGATGTTCCCAGGGCATCTTCACTATACTCACTATGCAATACTTCAAATTTGCATTTTTACTGGTGAAAAATGATTGTTCAATTTTATTTTTCATATTTACAGGGTGGGGTGAAACAATCAAAAAGAAACCATGTCTGATAGGTTTCTCAGCTCAAGTAAAGGACCAGCATTCTGTAAATATGCTACAAGTAAAGGCCAAAATCTTTTTGAGCGTGGGTACTGGAACCCCATGCCGGTTAACTCTTACCTAAGTGGTGATGGGATGTCTCACTGCTATCGTGGTCCAGCATATTATGTTCCCTCTGAAAGAGCATGGATAGATTATAAAGACTACAGATCACTTCCGCCATTGACACGTCGTGATGCAATACACATGGATAGTGAAGATAAATACAGAGAGTTTCAGAGGAAAAGAGATAGTAGACCAAACCCAGCAGGTAACTTTATATCCAGATAATATTTAAATTTCCAAAATGAAAGTTATCCTATCTAACAGATACTTTAGTTGATTTAAACTTTTGTAAAGGATCATCCATTTATGACATCTACTTAGAAGGGGAGGTGGGGAATTAGATAAGTCAACTTTAATTTACAATTAAGATTGGGGAGGGAGTTAGAAACATGTGGACAATCACTTGGTGAATTTAATATCCAAGTGCGCTTGTTGGCTACAGCAACAAACACAAAACATTTAACCTGCATACTAAATGAATAAATTTAAACAGCACTGAAAATACAAATCAGCAGGAAATGAAATCATTGTCTAGATTTATAAAATTAGTACTTTTTAGACTCCACTTTAAATATATACTAATAGATTATACAGAATAGAACATCTGGCAAAAAATGTTAATATCTAAATTCCAGGTTTTATAGATGTCTTAAATGGCAGATCACTAAAACTGAATCATCATAGCATATAGAGTTTAAATAATAACACATTTTTATATTAAAATCATTTTAAAATTGAGTTAGAATTATTTTAAAAGTTGTAGAAGCAGCCAAGGTTAAGTAATTTGTTTAAATAACTTAATATGAACAATGAAACGATTTAATGTATAATTTAAATATTTGTAAAACAGTTCAAATCTGGCTCTCTATATTTGGAATAAATACTATTTGTTATTTCAGGAATATCTATGTCTGGTTATCCAATGAACTTTACTGGAGTTCCTTATCCCCAACTTATCCCCTTCCACACTGATGCATGGAGAAGACGTTGGGATGGACCAGGCAATTTTGTTCCACCTGTTGATAAGTGGGTTCATGAAAACCCTGGCTCCTTGTACCAAGCATACAAGTTCTATAATGAAGAAGATTATGACAAATTTCGTCACCTGAATGAAGCACCAACATACCGCCAAAAAGTTGTGCGGTAACTGATTTAAGTCATGTTACTTAAAATAATAATTGTTTCTACATGTCTATAAAATACCATCATCTTGAAATGTTTCTTTTAAAATATGTAGATCAATTTTTAAAAATGGAATTTTCTGTGTTATTTTTTGAAAATGTAACACAGCTTGCTATTCCACTGAATGAACAGTTTACAAATTTAATTTCAAATTTATCAGTATTACACTTTTAATTATATATGCTTATTTATATATATATATATATATATAAATATATGTATATTTTTTCAAATATGCTTAGGCCTAAGTATTATTTTTTTTGTTACGAACAAAAATATGTAAAACTACATCCAGTAAATCAATTTGGTAGCTATAGTTAAATTGAAGTTTTTCTTATATTTATATCTCTTCAAAATGTAACTTCCTAGTACTTTTCAAACTTCTGTAATATCAGCATTTTAATTAAGTGTGATTAACAACAAAACATGTTATTTTAGAATATACAGCTTATTTATTTTCAAGTAAACAAGGTGCAGTTACATAAGAACAGATTTATATAGATTAATTAGTAATTAGTGAACACAATTTTAGAATAATTTTTATCTATTGTTCTATGCATTATAAACTTTCAGTTGCAATTTTTAATTGGATGTGTGAATACATATTAAAAAATTTCATAGATTTTATTTTAGTAAATAAATTCACTTTTGACCAGACTTAAAATAAAAACCCAACCCAAAACTTTTACAAAATTCACAAATAAAAAGAAAACCCTTTTAAAAAATTTCTGTTTCTTCATTGTTTTTGTTACTGATATTGTAATGCAGGATCTCTTACATTTAAAAGCTATCAAACAAATAATACTAATTTGGAAGGGATGTCTCACAAGTAAGAATTTTCAATAATTTTCCAAAAACAATACTTAGTAACCAAAATACTTTTGTTATTTATTCTCATTGTATATTATAGCTTTTTACGCTAAAACTAACTACCTAAATTTTAGTATTCCAGAAATAACTATAAACACATTATGAGTATACTATAATTGCATATATATATATATATATATATATATATATATATATATATATATATATATATATACATACATATAAATTAATTTACTTTTTTCAAGACAAATTTTTAAAAAGTGGGTTTTTTGTTTTGCTAGAAGAATTCCATCTGTAAAATGGTCTCTATTTCCCTAGTATATTAATATAAACTATTACACAAAGAGAGTATTATCCATTTCTTAGATTAAAGCAACTATGCCATTTTAGTTGCGTTTAACATTTATGAAGCAAATATTCAGAGACCATCAACAGTAATCCTAACATTGACAAAAAGAAATATTAAATGTTTTTATATATTTGTTTTATAAAAGCTCTTTATAAAAGAGCCCAAGTTTTAGCAGCTATATGTGGCAAAAGGAGACCAGTCATCAGTGATGATATCAGATTTACAGAATGATTATCTAGAATTTCACGGCCAGCAATATACTCAACATCAGGACTTTTATTATCCACAATAAATCCCAATTTCCTATGTTTACCTGTAGGAAAACAGTAAAATATTTAGCAACCATATACAAGAATTTTAAATTGTAAACTACACATTGAACAATCTAATTTCAAATCTTAACTTAGTAATTATAACAATTAAACAGCCAAACTTAACAACACTATTTGCAAGCTTTTTAAAAAATCTACTTAAATATTAGTTTGTCATCAGTAGGTAACAAATACTTTATTGTGGCATTCAAGGCACAAAATAAGAAAATGAAATATTGTTTAGATTCAAAGTAGACAAACAAAAACAAAACAAAACCTGAATACTGCAATGTTCCTCCAAGAAGAGAATCAATGACAGACCCTGAAAGTCCTGCCAATCCACCATACAATACAATAGGCCACTGTTTAGGTGAAACCACTAGTGCTTCAGCATTTATAATTAGCAGTTCAGTTATATAGAATGCTAAGCCAACAATCAGTCCGCCAACTAAACTGGAGAGTGTACCATAAAAAGAAACTGCACCATTTGTACCTGCAAACAGATTTTTTTTCAACAGGTTTTCTCCCTTTATTGTAAAACATGTTTGACATAAGCTTGAGGTTTTAATTTTCTTAAATGAACTTATTAAATAAATAGACATTTTGTTTTAAACTTTCACTTCAGAAAAAAGGGTTTAACCTCACAAAGAGATTTTTTTAAGGAATTGTTTATGATACAAACCTCTGGGTACACGTTTGAAAGTCACTAAATGGAATGGATCATGGTTCCCTACAGCAGTTCCTATTTCAGAGGCAAAAGTATCCCCTGAAGAACAGGCAAGAGCAGCCATAATTCCTACTGCATACCATGAAGCTGAGTACCTCTTGGCAAAGTCTATTGGGACATCAACAGAACCAACCTACATTTTTAAAAATAAATAAAAATGTGATCACTGTTTTAATAAAAACTGTCTGAATTAAAATTTTAGAAGTGTTAACTAGAGGTAAAATGTTTATCAATAATATATGGTATTAAAAACAGTGTTTTTTCATTGCTTCACAAGCCTAATATACAGAAAATTGTGTAACTGTAAAGACAGAATAGGATAGTTTAGAAGATAGCTCCATATTGGCACCACTTTGTCTTGTCTTGTTGATCTGGCCAGTCATAAAAGTATGTTTTTTTTAATAAGTTTTTGGTTTTTCTTCTAAATGATCTATTTTTTAACAATTTATGAGAAAAAAATTAAATGTAGACCTACAATCACGGCATATAAAAATGACTTAATTTATATAAAAAAAACAATTAATGCCCCACCTCAAACATATATAAGATGGCCAACATTGCAGCAGGCCCGCCATTAGATAAAACCTGTACCCAGTTTCTTTGTCCACCTGTGCACAAAGTCTAAGGATGTCACATAAATGCCTTAAAAATTAGTATCTATACTTTACTACACCCAAACTGTACTATTTATTTATTTCAAATATTTGTTCAATGGTTGTTTTTTTTTTATTTTTTAAAGTTCCCTTTTCAAACCTGACAGTCTATGGGGCAAGTGAAGTAGAGTTCACTTGTTTCTGTGACTTCGGCATATGAAGAGATAGTGTGGTCAGCACTATGCCCAGCCGCCTTTACTTTCCCTAACATGAGTTAGGTACCCATCAGAGTTGGGTGGACTCAGGGACGGTCTATAAAACTTGAACCCGGATTCGAACTCGAGACTAACGGGTTAGCAGTCCAGCTCTCTACCGCTAGACCACTCCGTCCATGTTCAATGGCTGTAACAACTAGAATACCTTCTTCCACATTCCAACAATACCCCACTTATTTCCTCTATGATGATGCACACAAAATTTCTTCTTTGCTTAATTAAGAATAATCATTTACTGGAAATATTAATCCTATTACGATTATTACTAAGAACCTAACTAGTAGACTGCAACCTAATGTATAATAGTTGAGTTTATTTTGATTGAGTTGGCAACTAATTTATTTTAATACTTTAGAGTTGGCAGTGTAAAAGTCAAGTTCCCTTTCCAATCTGCCGTTGTGAACACATGCACATTCTACTAATTTGAACTTGGATCTGAACTCAAGACTTTCGAGTTAGTAGTCTAGCGTTCTAGACCACGCCGCCCCACTATTATTAAGTGTACCAAAGATAATTATAAAAATCTCGTTTAACCTATTTAGTAGCTAACTCTTATGCTTGTCACTGCCTCTATCTAAAATTATTATGCAGCTAATTACTTGTGAGGAAAAAAAATTAATCAAATCAATTGAAATTGAATTTCAGCATTAAGTATTAAGAATTTTTTATTTATAAATATTTAATTTAATTATTTATTAGTTAAATTGAATAGGCTTGATCAGAATTAATTTTATACTAACCTTCTTTAAAGTCAGATTCTATTATTCTTTTCTTTGCAGCTTTAAATTTTGTTGCCTTCGATGCAAAGATAAAAAATGCTAACAGTGACATCATAAACCTAATGCTACTGATAGTCAACAAAAAACCAATAATGAGTCCTAAAAAGACAAATAGGAAAAACATGTTTTATCACATGTAAAGTTATTTTAAAAGGTCATCCATTTATAATATTCACAAAAATTAATTTTAGTAATTTGTACCGACTCCACAATGAATTATTCCCCCCCCACCCCACCCCATGCCCCTTGTGTGGAAGTCATAAATGGATGGTATCAAAATATATAAGCAAGTTTATCATGATTTGGTAAATGAAATGTCTAAAATTATATTCTATGTAAAAATACATTGCAAAGCAAATTAAAATTTCCCTTTTTGGACCTGTCAATCCATAAGGCAGATGAAGTAGGGTTCCTCTATTTCTCGACCATGGCATTAGTAGGGATGGTATGGTTAGCAATATGCCCAGCCAACTTTAATCCCACTAATGTGCGCCAGGTACTCATAAGAGCAAACTGGGTGAACCTACTAACTCAAGTCCAAGATCTGAACTCAAGACTTTATTAGGATTAGCAGTTTAGGCCCTACCACCCGGCCATTTCAAAGTATATTAACTTAAAATCTGCATAAAAGAAGACCAGAAATTTTTTTTAAATTCCACTATTAACTATACCAGCAGCAGCTCCTGATTGATTTAGACTTTTTTTATGTAAGCCATAAAAGGCTATGGCAAGAGGGGCAATCAAGCTAAAGGCCCAACGCCATGTCACTGGTTTTTCAGTGTCTGTGGGATAAAATATGAACATATTTGAATTGAGAAAATGCAGTCAATTTAATTATAAAAATCTCACTATTACTACACAGGATATTTCAATATATTAACAATAAAAAAGAAAGCCTAATAAAAGTAATTAGGCTAATTTAATTTTCACTTTAGCCTGGTCAATAGATGTATGTTTAGTCAACCCAAGACCAAACTAAAACCCTGGCACTAAAAATAAATATAACCTTGACTAAGTTATCTTTCTCTGACTTAGCTGCATGGTATGGCAGAAACCATTTTAAGTATCTCCAATAACAGTAAAATAATTAATCTTCAACTATTACTTCTAGATCTTATATAGCTATATCTATCTATATCTATATCTATATCTCTCTCTTTCTATATATATATATATATATATATATATATGTTTTATATATATATATATATATGGGGTCGTCCATAAATGACATCACACTCGTAGGGGGGAGGGAGCTCTGTAATTTTGTGACAATGTGTGATGAGGGGGAGGGGTTCAGATGGTGCGATGTCACACTTTTGCTTTATAGATAAGAAATGTTAGAAAACGAATTTTAGACGTTATTTAGCGTTTTAGAAAACAGTTTTAATAAATTATAATAGGAATTGATTAAAATACTCTATTTTTACATATTTCAGACAAGATTTTGGATAAATATCGATGTTTAAAAAAAATTCAACTGCATTTTTGAGGGGGGTTGTAGGCTGAGGTGTGTCGTCATTTTAGGGGGGGTCTGGCTTTTTGTGACGATGTGTGACTGAGGGGAGGGGTAAAAATTGTCAAAAAGAGCGTGACGTCATTTATGGATGACCCCTATATATATATATATATATATATAGGCCTATATATATATATATATATATATATAGGCCTATATATATATATATATATATATATATATATGTATATATATATATATATATATATGTGTGTATATATATATATATATATATATATATATATATATATATATATATATATATATATATATATATATATATATATATATATATATATATATATATATATATATATATATATATATATATATATAGGCCTATATATATATATATATATATAATAGGTCTATATTTAAAGTTATTTAAAAAATTTTTTTTTAAATTAATTTTTAGCCTACATATGTTTTATTTTAGTTTGGAGCTTATTTGTTTAATATTTTGGAGTATTAAAATTAAAACAAATTATTAGGCCTAATAGTAGGCCATAGGCCTATAAAAGTATATGCCATAGATTGATTATTGATTTTTTAAGTATTATTTTGCCACAGTTTTTATCACTGACAATGTTTGGACACATTTGAATCATTGTGTATGAAAGCCATGGTCTCACTGTTGGCTATTATCAATCATACTTAAGTTACTTAAGTCCAATGATGCTGTGAACTATAAGTACTTTTGTCTGTATGTACTAGATCTAGAATAATCTAGATCTATGTAATTTATAGAGTATATAGATCTAAGTCTAGATCTAAATACTAAATAGGCCCTTGGCATAATGCCATAATATAAATAATATTAGCCTATAATTATAATTTATACATAGGCCATGATAGGCTCCTGTACTGTAGGCCTAAATCTAAATTTAGTCTGTTTATTATGACTGGATGCTACGAGCATTTCGTACAGTTACAGTTGATTTCGGTATCAATTTAATCTGTACGGTTTGATAAGAGATTTATTCTAGCTAGTGATATGATGATGCTAGAAGTTTACATGCCTGGCTTAGTAGAAAATAACATTATAAAAAACCACAGGATTGTTAGAGCAGGCAAAAGTATGGCGATTAATAAAGCCAAAATCATGGTTTATCAATTTTATATTTAAATATTTCATAAACACTAGATTCTAGATCTAGTTTCAGACTAGTTTGCTCTGATGTTTGCATTGAATCTAAACTAAAAGAGTACTCTATATACCGCGAGTTAACCATAAAATATTTCTAGACTCTAGACCCATCTAGATTTAAGAATCTAGATTCTAGATCTAGATCTAAAACTCTAAAACTAATATTTTAAATTTTGGACATCTTGATCAAGGCCTGGATCTAGATTTAAATCTAAATTCTATAGGCCTAGGCCTACTTGTACCAGATCTAAACTACAAAGTAGGCCTCTATACTATATTATACTATAAAATAAAAATAGCTATAAGTATTATTAAATAAGTAGTAAGTAAGTAGGCCTAATAACTTAATAAGTATAATCTATAATATTATATATATAATGTCTATATCCCCTATGCTATAGTCTAGTATTGGCATAGGGCAGGGGTCGGCAACCTGCGGCTCGCGAGCAGCATGCGGCCCTTTTGATGTCTGGATGCTGCTCGCCAGTTCTATAATAATTATATTTATTTTCATAGCTCATAAAAATATTACACTGTAAAAGCAACTGTAAACAAGATTAAAACACTAAGAATTGGTGAAGAAGAGTGTATACAGACAGCTGCTTGGGTACAAACAAGGCCCAGCTCCACACACTTTCACACCTTCCGAACCCCCACTAGACATCATCACAAAATTGCACCTGTCCTCCCCCTAAAACTGTGACATCATTTATAGACAACCCCTTTTCACAGTCCTGGTCACACAAATTTGAGAAGGCAAATATATTTCATCTGACAAAAAGTGTGGGGTGGTAGTTTCCATCTACTTTAAAAGTTGAATTTTTTTACAATGTGTGACCATGGTAGTTAGGTTAAGTAGGGCCTGATTAATTTATTTTTTAATAAAATAGCCCAGAAGTAGCCACCTTTTTGTTGTAGGATAACAATTAAGCTTAAACATTAGGTTTTATCAACCAAAACTAGTACTAGTATGGTTGAGCCTACTAAATATAAGTAGGCTAAGATCTTAAGTATTGCATAGGCCATAGGCCCGTAAAAACAAATAGGTATTTTACCAAATGTAATAGTAGATGATGAAAAGATTTTATGTTGGTTTAATGTTGTAGCTTTTAAAATGAAGTTAGTATCAATTAACTCAAACCTCAATATCTTATCAAATTATTTAAGTGGTTTTTTTCTTCTTATTCTAATACACAACCTATAGATTTGAAAGTGTACGTAACTTTTTATTAATACACATTTAAGTTGTTTATTTTTATTTCAGCAGGGTACATTTGCATCACTAAGATTTTATTTAACTGAAGCCATGCCATTTGGACAGGTAGTTGTTGGCCCTCCTGGTTCAGGAAAAACAACTTACTGTGCAGGTAACTTTTTCTATTCTTAATACATACACTTTAAATTTCTTATATTCCTTGTTTTGACTAAATCCAATTCTAATACTTGTAGTATTGTTTTTATAGGAATGTTCCAGTTGCTGACTTCTTTAGGAAGAGAGGTTGCAGTTATCAACATGGATCCTGCTAATGACAATTTGCCATACCCTTGTGCTGTGGACATATCAGAGCTAATTTCTCTAGAAGATGTCATGACTTATTTACATTTAGGGCCCAATGGAGGACTAGTATACTGCCTGGAGTACCTGGAAAAGAATGTTTCTTGGTTAAAGGAAAAGCTAGAAATAATTAAAGACAAATACCTTTTATTTGACTTTCCTGGACAGGTAAAATAAAAATGTCTTGTACATTTATAGTCACACTACTACTATTTTTAAAGATTAAATTACTTAACAGTTGGCCAATATTGTATGACTGTAACCTTTTATTAATCCTGTTGGGACCGGCTTACTTTTTTATGGTAAGCTTAACATTGGAGATAGATTTATGATATGGGCTAGAAATAGTTTTAGACAGTTGCTAATGCACATGTTAAAAAATGTTATCCCATAGAATGAAAATGACTGGTGAAGAGATAATTTTTAATACAAAAATTGTTGAGCACTACAACAATGCTAATTCTACAACAATATATTCAAATAACTTTAAGAGAGCATTGTTGATTTAAAAATATTCTGCTTTTATTAAATAAAATACATTTGCATTTCCTGAAGTCTTTTTAAGTAATCAACTCAGTATCCAATGTCCTGAAAATTTGTACTAATTGAATGATTCACTGATTGTCACATATTGAATAGCTTTGTTATTGAAACATAAATATGCAAAGCAGTATCAATCCAGGGTAAACCACAAAAAAACTTATGTAAAATTACAGGAAATTTTTACCTGATGAATGATATCATGAAATTGCAGCTAGTTGGAGTATTATCTCCCCCATTTGCTTACACATATGGTGGCTATGACTACTGGCAAGCTGCACACAGTGATACATTAAAATACTTTTTTTATCTAATGTGTTTACTCTTAGTTTCTCCCCTATCATTACTCTGTGTATTGCTTCCCAGGTAGAGTTGTACACACATCACAACTCAGTTAAAAACCTTCTAGAGCAGCTGACCAGCTGGGATTTCAGACTTACTGCTGTACACTTAGTCGACTCTCACTACTGCTCTGATCCTGGTAAATTTGTGGCTGTTTTACTGACATCACTCAACACCATGCTGCAGGTAAAATCCTAATGGTGGAGACTTTTCATTTTATTTAACTTACAATTTTGAGAACAAAAAACTTTTTTACATAGATCACATCACATTTAAAAAAAAAGTCAATGGTTTAAGTTTCACTGAATACATTTTTTAGATAACTTTTTCAACAAACCTCATGTTGCACCATTCATGTTTTATTAATTCATCCATCAATTTTTTATATTTTGTTTGTATTTTTAATAATATTATAGTATTTATTTTTTTTATATCCCCTATTAATTGTTACTTTATAATTTTCTCCATATTTCAGTTAAGCCTCCCACATGTAAATGTATTGTCCAAAGTTGATTTAATAGAGAAACATGGAAAGCTTGCTTTTAATCCAGATTACTACACAGATGTCTTAGATTTACATTACCTTTTGGATCACTTACAGGTAAGTCTCTAATGTCTCTTTTTTTAATCAAAGAGGTTTAGGTAATGTTGGATTAAAAATATTTTGTTTGTTTACTATTAGTTAGCAAGGTGTGTAACTTTAAATACTTCTGTACAGGATGATCCTTTACTACACAAGTACAAAAAATTAAATGAGGCATTAGTTGGTATTGTTGAAGATTATAGCCTTGTGACTTTTGTCCCATTAAGTGTTGAGGTAAGAACTCATTGTATTTTCTATATGGCTTAAAATATTAGTTTCATTTGACAAAAATAATTTAATAACTTCTTATTAGGTGAACTCGCTAGCTCAAATGTTTAAATATCTTTATAATCACATAACCCTGTAAAAAATTAACTAATCAAATACATTTTTAGGATAAAGAAAGCATTCTTAGAGTTTTGAAAGTTGTGGATAAAAGCAATGGATATGTATTTGGATCTCTTGAGGACAGAAGTTTAGAGTCCCTTATGTCTTGTGCAGTTGGAGCTGAGTTTGAATATGACAAGATCAAAGATGTGAAAGAAAAATACATGGATATGGAAACAGAAGATCTGGATGAAAGTGGATGATATGTTGTTTAAAATGTGAAGTGTGGCATTTTTAGAATTTTAATCAGACTTGAATTTTTGTTTAAAGTTATTCTGCCAGTAATATTTTTCAGACTTTTTATGGCTACATTTTGTTAACTTAAAAAAAGTTTTCTAAATTGACTATCCTATTTATCATTAGTAAGTATAGTTATGCACCAAAATGTTTATGCATAAGCTTATTTATTTACTAAGTTATTTAATATAGACAAGGTGGTGATATTCCAATTTAACACTTCTCAAAAAGCTTTGTTGTGTGAACTTAATGTGATGCCACAGATAAGGGTGTTGCATCAGGCCTCAGTTACCTAGAAAAAAATGTCCATGTGTGCTTCGTGTTCATTAAATCCAAAGATAAACTGTGTTGCATGAAAAAGTTACACTCAGTGTTTAAAACAGTTTCATTTGCTATTGAAGCCATTTGTAATTTGGAATACCTATATTGGTATAAAGCTTTTGTTTAGTATCCTAATGACATGCCACTACATTAACTGCAGCTAATTTTGCTAAACGTCTTTCACACATCCATTAAATAGTTAAATAATTATTGTTATTGTGTGAGAATGATAGACTTCCAATGTAAATATTTTTAACATGTAAATAAACTTATAATTACATCATTATGATTTAATTATTTATAATTTGCATGTACTTGGTACTTTTTATAAAGTTGTATACATACTTTTGGAATGTAAGCTTTATCCAAGCTTGGGACTGGCAAGATGAAAACAAACCCAGCAGTAATGTTAAAGTAGAACATTTATTGAGGTGCATTATGAACATTTATTGGGCTTCATCATGTTTAAAATCATGGGAAGAAGTTTCATTTCACAATTTAAAACAATAAAATGTGAAACATTTCTTAACACATCAATTTTGGTATTACACCTGTATATACAGTATTATATTTTGGTAAACTTTTTTACTGTAGCTTCTTCCATTGAAGGTCACATAGCTTGTTTTCACCCATGGACTCTATGGTTGTTCCACAACTCACATGGATTGAAAATGCATTGGTTGTCAAGAAATAGCAATATAAACAGAAAGTGATATTTCAACGCCAAGCGTAGACAAAGGTACTTCTACCCTTGGCGTTGAACTATATAACTTTCTGTTTATATTGCCATTTCAGTTACAACGCCTGCTTCCACCCCCTCTACATGGTTGTCAAATATAATAGCAAACAGTGGCCTCAGTTTTACCAGGGACTGGGTTGCAGCAGCCTGTGTGTAGTGTATTGAATGTTGCATTCCATTAGCAACGTTTTCTTGCATAGACTTTTTCCACTCCAGGACTTCAAGTGACTGAAACATGTTGGTCCTTTAAAAACATACAGGAACATTCAAATATTGCATTACTGTTTCATGGATCAAGTTAGTAGTCGATTGAAAAGTATTGAATTCAGATAAATCAACCCTCATTGGTTTTCATTTGAAAAAAAAAGTGGGCCTACAGATAATAGTTTTAATAATCGCGTAATTTTTAGCTTAATCTGAGTATATTTAAACAAAAATTATTAATAACTTAGTGCACATGAAATTCAACTAGGCCCACTTCAAGCTAAATTTTTTTTTAAAATTATAATTTATGGACGTAACTTGATTCTTTGTTTACTGTCATGATAATCTTAGTTTACGTTTTCATTTAACCTAACTCACTAGTGGCTGATACCATATATAAGATGTGGGTAGGCCTACTATATCTCAATCCTCAAAAGAGAGGATTGACCCCCCCCCCCCGCCCCCTTTCTAAACTGGAACGATTAAACAACATATCTAGAAACAAAGTTTTCTCTGAAATCATAACCAACTTTCAAACTAAAATACTAAATTATAAAATACCAGACCAATCTGAGTCATGAGTTTGTTTAATAACAATCGATAAAGACATCTAACCAGGTCTCCCTGTATTCTATATCATACTGAAATCCCTAGTGTATTCCCTGTCTTCTATATCATACTGAAATTCTTTGTGTATTCCCTGTCTTCTATATCATACTGAAATCCCTTGTGTATTCCCTGTCTTCTATATCATACTGAAATCCCTTGTGTATTCCCTGTCTTCTATATCATACTGAAATCCCTAGTGTATTCCCTGTCTTCTATATCGTACTGAAATCCCTTGTGTATTCCCTGTCTTCTATATAACACTGAAATCCCTAGTGTATTCCCTATCTTCTATATCATACTGAAATCCCTTGTGTATTTCCTGTCTTCTATATCAAACTGAAATTCATTGTGTAATCCCTGTTTTTATATCATACTAAAATCCCTTGTGTATTCCCTGTCTTCTATATCATACTGAAATTCCTTGTGAATTCCGTTTGTTCTATATCATACTGAAATCCCTTGTGTATTCCCTGTCTTCTATCAGTGGCGGAACTAGAAAAAAAAGGCTCCCCCGCAAAAATTTTTTTTGGGCCCCCCCTATATATATATATATATATATATATATATATATATATATATATATATATATATATATATATATATATATATATATATATACATATATATATATATATATATATATATATATATATATATATATATATATATATATATATATATATATATATATATATATATATATATATATATACATCCATACATATGAGTAGCCCGCTTCTCTAAATTTTAAATAGTCTATTACCTGAGTATTTTAATCTATTTTATTGCAATGTATAACCACTCTGAGATAACGAACCAGACAACAATAATCGTCTTTTACAAATATCTGTATTACGTCTTTATGTTTACCAAAAATTATGACAAAGTTGCAAGCTGGTCAAAATTATATAAAAACGTAAGCTTGATTTAGCAATGGTTTCTCCTGTTATGTTTATTTTTATGATTTTTTGTATTTATATTATAAGTTTTAAATACATTCATTTTTATAGCTATATGAGTCTTTAATATGCCTCATTTAGATAATAATTAAGAGAATAAATGGCTCTTTAATTTACATAGTACAACACTATTTAAATGTGCTTTATCGGCACCCGTGTTTTAATGAAGGGCAGTAAGTCATGGAAGTAGTCTGAACGTTTGCCTATCTTTCAAAGTAGAGCTCTTGTAGATTTTATATTTTTCTACGCAACAGTGTGTGTTAGTTACTGTAGAACAATCACTGCTATAGTAGACCTGTTTGTTTTTTTACAAAACCACTATCAAGGTGCACGAAAAACATTATTTATGAAAAGATAATTCATTGTTTTTTTTGGTCGGAATTGGGCCCCTAAACGTCGTGGGCCCCCCCGCATTGCGGGGTCTGGCGGCACTGTAGTTCCGCCCCTGTCTTCTATATCGTACTGAAATTCCTTGTGAATTCCGTTTGTTCTATATCATACTGAAATCACTTGTGTATTCCCTGTCTTCTATATCGTACTGAAATCCCTTGTGTATTCCCTGTCTTCTATATCATACTGAAATCCCTTGTGTATTCCCGTGGTAATAAATCAGTAAGGCAGCATCGTTGCAGGGGCGGAACTAGAAAAAAAGGGCCACCCCGCAAAATAAGTATTCTGGGGCCCCCTCCTTTATATATATATATATATATATATATATATATATATATATATATATATATATATATATATATATATATGAAATGGGTATTAACATTGAATACTCATTTCTTGCCCGATCGGGTTTTGAAAAAAAAATGTTTTTTTTTTAAAATTAAACAAATAACAACATGTTATGTGTGTAAATGCGTTAGTCTGTTTTGTATTTCATCTTTATATTTAGAACTAGTTTATTTAATGTTCGCTGTAATCCTGCCTACCCACAGTACTTAGCCGGTCAAAAGAATATAAAACATGAAAGCTTTGTGTGTGTAATGGTTTCTCGTGTTATGTTTATTTTTATCTTTTTTTTTGTATTTATACTATTTGTTTTAAATATATTTCCAATTTATGCTACGTCATTCTTTAGTATGTATTTAAAAAAAATAATAACTAAGAAAAGTAATTGCTTTTTCTTTTGTTTAGTACAAATATATTAAAAGGAGCTTATGAGCACTCCTATTTAACTACTTAAAAAAGGGAAAAAGTCATGGAAGTGTTCTGAACGTTCGCCTATCTTTCACACTACAGCTCAGGCATAGTTTTTTAACGCAACATCATGTGTTAGTTACTGTATAACAACACTACTGTAGTAGATCTGTTTGTTATTTACAAAAGCTTTTACCGTCAAGTCAAAAATGCAAGAAAATTATTTTTTTTTAACTATAAAGAATTTATTATGGTCGGTGATGGGCCCCTAGATGGCGTGGCCCCCCCCCCCCCCCCCCCCCGCATTGCGGGGTCTGGCGGCACTGTAGTTCCGCCCCTGCATCGTTGTATTACTCATCCAGCCTGTTCCTCGTTCTAAAATTCCAGTAAGATGTGCTGTATATCACGGCAAGTTCTTGATCAATTATTTATGGATTAGCCTAAGCTAACATTAAACACTTCCATCTGACACTTTGATTTTTATTACGGAAGAATTTTTACATTTACAAAATACCTGACGATAAAACGAAAAAAAAATCGATTCCAACGACGTATGGTTCTAGACAAAGGCCACAATTAAAAGGTGTTTGCTCTTGTACAATGGTAGCTGACTTGTATGGATTTCAGTTTATCGATCTACCGAAGCTCCCTCCCCTTCCCCTGTCCTAATCACATTAACTGAGCACGTTTCGCCATTATCAGCACGGAAACTGTCAGATAAAAGACACGATGAAAAAAAAAACCAACTGGATTGGGTGACCCTCTCGTCCTTCCCAGCGATCTAAGTTGAGGATAAAACAAAGCTGTTCAATTTTAGAAACAGAAGTTCTGATCAAAATAGCAACATAAAAATATTTACGTTGAGTCGCATTATAAATAAGTTAGTATTACTGATTTAAACGTGGACTTCAACTCGACAGGTTGTGCTTTGATTGGATATATTTAGCCTAGCTGTTGGTTGCCAACAACGTTGTGTTAAAAATATCTTCTGTCTCGGTCATTGCGTGATAATTAATGAGTCAAGCAAATATTGATTTACATAAAAACAATTCCTGCTAGACAAAGCTGTTGAATGCGTTGCTATGATATCAAGATTAATAAATAGCTAGCAGTTCTCTGGTATCGTGTTACGCGCGCTTTTTAAATAATATAATAGAATCAACATGGTATTAGCTATACCAAGCGTTGTATCGTTGCATCACGTGATTCGGACATATGTATTATTGTTTTGGTTGAACTTACTTTAAGAGCAACTAAACCATGCTATTTATTAGGTTGAGTTACTTAAACTTAAAAGAAACATCGAACTCCTGGTTTCGCATTGTTGAGCACACACTAAATAAAGTAAACTCTATATCTTTAGTTTTTCAAGTTAGACTACTCTTGTAGTCAAGTCTCCTCGTGTTTTGTCTAATAACTTGAAGCTCCACCAGTCTCCTCTAGGGGCGCGTGCCTTACCTGGGCGTCAGGTTGAGAGCTCGTGGGTCGCCCATTCATGATGACCTCTCTCAACCTGCCGGTATAGTCCTAAGTACTGAATACATTCGTTATTAACCAAGCTTATTTTAAAAGTAAACAGGGCATTCGTTGTTTATCAAACTATTCTCAGCAGTGTTTCTCTCC